GAGGCGCCGCTGGAGCGCGCGGCCGCGCGCGCCCGCGCGGAGGCCCGGCGGGCGGTGGCGGCCAGCCCGCGCCGGGGCATGCCGGCATCCGGAGGCGACCTCGCGGCCTCGCGGAACCTTTCCGCCGCCGCCGCCATCATCATCATGTCATCATCATGTCATCATCCTCATCATCAGCATCACCATCACCACCACCATCACCATCACCACCACCATCACCATCACCATCACCATCACCATCATCATCATCACCATCACCATCACCATCATCATCATCATCATCATCATCATCATCATCATCATCATCATCATCATCATCATCATCATCATCATCATCGTCATCGTCATCGTCATCGTCATCGTCATCGTCATCACCTCCGCCGCCGCCGCCGTTGCCCGAAGCGCAGAAGACGGCACAAGCAGAAACCGCCGGAACTCCGCGCGGAATGCTCGGAGCGGCGCTTTACCAGAGGCGCCGCCAGGGAAGGGGCCCTCGCCAGTCCAAGAATGCCGCGCGGAGCTCCGAGAGTTTCTGCTTATACCTTTTTGTTGTTCCTCTAGTCGCCGTCCCTCCTCCGTCCACGCAGGCCTCCAGCGACTCGAAGAAGGTGAGGTGCTGAGTTTTCGCTGTCTTCGGCCTCCTTAGGGTCCTCGCCAGGCCCCGGGGACGCCAGGAAACGACTCGGGACGAAAATCGAGCCTTTGGAAAAGGTCGAGGTTTCCGGGAGCATGTGGTGCAAAAAACACGGCATCGGATGCCTTGGTCTTCCATTAGCCCTTATTCCTCCTCCTCCTCATCCTCTTCCTCCTCCTCCTCCTCCTCCTCCTTCTACTCATCCTCATCCTCTAACCAGCTTTCCTGTTTCCTCTCCCCTCGTCCGCTTCCCCAACCTCATCCTGCCCTCTCTTTCCTCGTCATCCTCCCCCTCCTCGATCCTCCCATAATGCATTTGCGGACGAGACTACTCTGTTGTCAAGACCTTGGATAGCGATGAAGTGCATGATCCACACGCTGGGCGAGCTAACCAAGCGAGGATTGAGCTTTCACCTTGCGAAGTACAATGTGCAGACCAACAAAGCAGAATACGTATTTCGCGGGATGCCGTCCTAGAGGATGGTTTATCCATGAACGTGCTCGCAGAGTGGAACGGCCTGGAGGTGTTGGGAAGCATGCTGCCGTTGATGGATGTCACGGCGGCTTGGAACATCGAATGTTTCGGTCCTGGCGAAAGTTCTGCGCTAGGAAGCTTGTTGCTGGTGAGCCATGATACATATAAATGAATATGTTTTATGACTATATTATGTATGTGTTTGTGTATCTCGACGTTTGCGGCTCTTCGACACGCTTGCGCGGAAGAGTTCAGCATTTTGCCACCCATGCAAAACAATATGATACGGTGCATATACAGTTTCAGACGGGCTCCAGACGACGTGTGACACAAGTGGTTCCAGCGCGCTACGCGGAAAATTCAGCAAATGGCGGTGCGCGCTGGAGTCCGATTTGGCAGCGAGCCCACGCCAGACGTAAGTGGTTCTGGGCGGCCTACGTCGCGAGGATGCCAGGCCATTGGAGGGATGGCGATTGGACGACAGTTGCGCGTAACGGTTACGACACACCATGTCGACCGTCTCGACCCCATAGATGAGGAGGGAGGGCGTGAGGCGGCGGTACGCTGGACACGTAGGGTTGCAAGGATGGCACCGAGCCGCCGACTCTCGCGTACATTGGAATGCTCGCGGTGAACATTTCGAGGATTTCGTTTGCAAGTGAACTGAGCTATTTCGTGTCCTGCCCCCTTCGGGGGTTCATGTGAACTAGAACTTGCTATAGTGATCTCCTTGATGGTTGTCAATATTATTACACCATCTCTCGTCTCCCCCTCCTAGACGCAGCCATACGGAATGGTTCAGTCCACACCTTCTATTGTTCGGCGGAGCAAACACCTACCCACCCGACCCTCTGGGGCTAGGGGCCGCCACGCCGACGGGGCCCGAGAAAAGAAGAAAAACAACAATCATACAAACAAAAACAGGAGAGGGAGAGAGACAGGGCCGCCAGCTTCTCAGCTGCACGAGTTGAAGCACCAGCCCGCCGAAGGCGGGTGGCCCCCATGCCTCCTGGCTCCACCTGCGCCAGGGACACTGGCCACCCCACGTCGTCGCGCGTGGCACGCGGCGCGTGTTTCCGCATATGTGACCAGGCCCGCCACCAATGGCGCCAGGGGCCTGACGGTTCACGCCTACAAGCAGCACCGTAAAGCAGGTCGACCCCCCCAGCCACACCTTTGCCCCGCAGCGAGACGGGAAGACCAAGACAGTGGACGGAGCCAGCCCACACAATGACTGGCACCGTGCTGGCCGACACAGACCAGAGAACCGATCCACGCTGACCCAGGGACTGGTGTTTTCGCGGCCCCAGCGGCCAGGTCCCTGAGGGGGACCACCGCGAGAGGGCCGCCGAGGGGTGCCACGAGGGGGGTGACGACCAAAGGGGGGTGGGCACCATGCCGCGACATGCCCCCGGATGTTCTGGCGTCTTCTTCTCCTTACATGCGTGCCCGGGTCCTCCATCCCTTTCGCACACGTGCGTCCAGCCATGAACTGCGAACCCCTGTTGGGCGCCCCCCCGGGGGGGCACCCAGGCCCTCGGGCCACCGGCGCTCTTGGGCCGCCGCGCGGCCCCCACGCCGACCACGGCTTGGCGGAGCTCGGTTCTTCCAGGGTCCCCATGCTCCGCCCACGCGCCGAGGACCTCTCCTCCTCCTCCTCCTCCTCCTCCTCCTCCTCCTCCTTCTCCTTCTCCTCCATTCCTTCTCCTCCTCCTTCTCCTCCTCCTCCTCCCCCTCCTCCCCTCCTCCCCCTCCTCCCCCTCCTGCTCCCCCTACATGTCGGACACTCTGTGGAACTGCGTCTTCGGGTGTCACCTCTGTCCCGACATCATTACCCACTCTTTGCAGTGCCCCCGTATCGCCCACCCTCCTGTGCATCGCCATCGTGTATCGTGTTTCCGTGTCCCCTCCTCCGCTTCGGTCTCGGCTTCCCTGTGCAATACCCAGCGTTCGATTTAATGTGTGAGAGCTCGGTGCTTGCCACAGTCTTTAGTTTCTATGTTTACCAAATAGCTAGGAGAAAATTAAGAAACAGGGATGGAGGACCTTTAACTGTCCCCCAGCAGCTCGAGGCTATCCAAGCCGCGACTGCCAAGATGCCCCATAGTCATGGTATGTTGCCCCAGCAGCTTGGAGGCCTCGGCGTGATCACGAAAACGTGGTCCCTCTGGGTGATGGCGCCCCTCCTCCTCCCCATGTCCCGCCAAGCCGAACGGCCACCTCCTGGAGAGGAAGGTCTTCGCGGGCCGCTCGGGGGGCTTCTCGGGACGCCTGCGAGGGGCATCGTGAGGGTCTCCCGGGGGCCTCTTGGCGGGTCTTTTGGGGCCTCTTGGGGCCTCTCTGGTGCGAGGGTGCTGGCGAGCAGGAAGCGAAAAGCCAGCGTCCCTGGGCTCAGAGAGGTCGGTGGGGGTTAATTTGTGTGGCGTCTGTTGCCCGGCGAGTGCGGTCGCCCACCGGCGGTATGGCAGTCCTCCTTTGTCTCCTCGCCCCGTCCTTCATCCTCCGTCTCTTCGTCGCCTCCTCCCCCTTTATTTGTCTTTCGTTTATCCTCCTCCTCCTCCTCCTCCTCCTCCTCCTCCTCCTCCTCTTCCTCCTCCTCCTCCTCCTCCTCCTCCTCCTCCTCCTCCTCCTCCTCCTCCTCCTCCTCCATTCCTTCTCCTTATCAATAACTCCTCCCTGTCGCACCCCGAGGCCAGTCGGAAGGGCGGGCCGGGAATTTCGCTTGAGATGTCCTCACCATTTATATTCATGAAGTTTTTGCAACTGACAAGAGTTTCACAGATGGAGGGCGGTCTGTTTTCAAAATGTGGCTCTCGCCTCTGCGCCGCGCAAATTCGAATTCAAAAAATTGCAAGAGCTTCGCGGATTGAGGGCGGCCCGTTTTCAAAATGGGGCTCTCGCTTTAGCGCCGCACACATTCGCTCAAAAAGCTCAAGAGCTTAACGGATTGAGGGCAGCCCGTTTTCAAAATGTGGTTATCGCCTTAGTGTCGCGCGCATTCGTTTTCAACATGCGCAGGAGCTTCACGAATGGAGGGCGGCTCTTATTGAGATATGTAGTGATTATCGCCTTAGCGCCGCGCACATTCGTTTTCAATATGTGCCAAAAAATCGATAATGTCTACAATTAACGTCTCAGATATGTTGTTCTGGAGACATGTAGGACTGTCAGGGCACAACAGTTACGTTGATTCGCGGTGTTGCGGATTGGTGTTCTGACACGGTTCCAGATCGCCAAGACGTAAAAGTCAAGTTGATTGGTGGCGCCGAAGTCCCAAGAATTGTGCTCTGCTTGGCACGGTTCAGGGTTTTCACACTGTTGTCTTCCAACGGGGCATTTCCCTCAGTGGAAATGAATCTTTGTAGGGGCCTATTGAGAAGGAGCTTGGACGGAGGGTTGATTTCAAAATCGTTGATTTGCTCCCCCTATCCTCCCTCCCGGCCTGTTCCCCCCTCTTTCCCTGCCCCCATCTTCCTCCCCTGGGATAAACGAAGGCAAAGTGAGGGAAGAGGTGAGGGAGATGGGAAATACGAGGAAGAGCAGGAGGTGAAGAGTGAGCATTATCTTCGTCAACTATACTGCAATGCCCTCCCGCTTCAAGCCCCTCCTCATAAGTTGTTACGAACATGGAGCACCCCATGGGTTTGCCATTCGGGCGAGAATACCGTTTTGAAAGCGAACCGACCCCCCCCTCCCCAGACACATCTTCTTGGCCATAAGAAGTACCAAGAGGTAGGATCAAGAAGTCCAAGGAAGGAGCACCGCTCTGAAACTGAGCCGCCCCAATTCCACACATTGCTGCGCAGTTCTACACGTATGACCTTCGAGCACGAGGAAGTATTACGCCAGGGCCCCACTTTCAAAAGGCACCGCCCTCCATCTGTGAAAGTGCATGAAGCCACACGCAGCTGTCGGGCAGTTTCAAGACGAACGTGCGCAGCGCCAAGCGAGAGCCCCGCTTTCAGAAGGACCCGTCCTCCGTCAGTGCAATTCCTGGGCACGTCTAAGACGGATGTGCGCGGCGACAGACGAAGCTCACATCCTGAAGACCACCCGCCCCCCATCCGTGTGCGGGAAAGTGTGACAGCGAGCGTGCGCAAATTTGGAGCGAGAGCCACACTTCGAAAACCATCGCCCTTCATCCGCGCAACTGGTGGAAGTTCCAAGGATCCAGATCATACACGGCGAGGAGGTATCAGGCGAAACGCTTGGCCCGCCGTGCTGACAAGCCTGGTGGCACGACGATAAGGAGTTAGTCATAAGAGGAGGGGTGGAGAGAAGCAGGAACGAGGTGGGTGAGTGTCTGATCCACATTTTGTGATTTGTGGGTGACCATTCTGCGTTTAGGGGGGACTCTGGGGAGCTTCGGAGGTACAACGGGGAGGAAAGGCGGGGAGGGGGGTGGGAAGGGAGGAAAGCGAGGCGAGATGAGGGAATGTGAGGAGAGGGCAGCGGGGTGGGATGGTGAGGGGAGGGCGAATGAGGAAGGCGAGCGGAGCGGAGAGGGCAGGAGGAGGGGAGGGTGCCAGATGCGGAGTTGGATCGGGTCGGGGGCTGGGCACGGACCAGAGGCATCGATTGTGGGTCGCCTCCGTATCCTATTCCGCCCCCGCCTCCGCCTCATGCGCCCTCTTCGTCCGCACCGGGCGTCATTGACATCACATCATCACCACCAGCATCATGCATCATCCATTATCCTCTACCATTTCTCCTCCTCGTCCTCCTCCTCGTCCTCCTCCTCCTCCTCCTCCCCCCCCTCCTCCTCCCCTTCCCCCTCCTCATCCTCCTCTGCATCTTCCCCCTCCTCATCCTCATCCTCATCCTCATCCTCCCTCCTCCCTCCCTCCGTCTCCCTCCTCCCTCCTCCAACCTCCTCCCTCCTCCCCTCCCTCCCCCTGACGCTGACGCTGCGGGGGGTCGAAGCCTCGGCGCCATCGCTGCTCCCTCCCACCCTGACGGACGCTGGGGGGAGGCGAGGACTTGAGCTCCCAGGTCAAGGCGAGCGCCGAGCGCGCGGGACAAGGAGGGAGCGGCAGCACGGCGGGGACGGCGGGCGGAGCTGCGACGGAGCCGAGGAGAAGGGGAGGAGAGGGGGCCTGTGGAAGGCGGGCGGTGGGCCGCCCCGGGCGCGACGACGCGGAGCCACGCCGGGGCCGAGGAGGGGGGTCGAGCAGGGGGCCCGGTCTCCGCCGTGGGGAGGGCGCCTCGGCCACCGGGGCGAGCGCCGCCTCGGGCGCGGTGAGCTTGCCGTGGGGCATGCCGCGGCGCCGGCTGCGTCTCCCCGGGCGCGGGACGCGGGGCCTGCCGTGGGTCTGCCGTGGTGCCATTCCTCGGCCCTTCCTCGGCCATTCCTCGGCCATTCCTCTGCCACTCCTCGCCCATTTCTCGGCTATTCCTCGCCTCCCTGCCCCATCCCTCGGCCACGCTACATCACACGTATAACTGCGCCGCCCACAGCCGCGCTGCGCACCCGCGTCCCGAGAAGAGGAGCGCAAGGCTCCACTCCAGGCGCCCAGGTCATTCGATCCTGGAGGGCAGTGGTCATGTAGCGAATCTTCCGATTTCTCCTCCTCCTCCTCCTCCTCCTCCTCCTCTTCGTCCTCCTCGTCCTCCTCCTCCTCCTCTTCCTCCTCCTTCTCCTCCTCATCATCATCACCAGCAGCATCATCATAATCATCATCAACATCATCAGCAGCAGCAGCATTAGCATCAGCATCAGCATCAGCATCATCATCATCATCAGCAGCAGCAGCATCATCGTCATCATGATCATCGTCATCGTCATCGTCGCCGTCGTCAGCGTCAACAGCATCATCAGCATCATCAGCATCATCATCGTCATCATCAGCAGCATCAGCATCATCATCATCAGCAGCAGCATCAGCATCAGCATCACCATCATCATCATCATCAGCATCATCATCATCATCAGCAGCAGCAGCATCATCATCAGCAGCATCATTACGTTGGGCTGATATTAAGGCCAGGCGTGTTGCGTCCCTTCTCTCCCTCATCATCATAATCATCCTCCTCGTCCTCCTATTCCTCCTCCTCCGCCTCCTTCTCCTTCTGCTTCTGCTCGGTCTGGCAGTTTTCGGGCAAACTCGGGTCTCCAGTGGCCCTGCGGGACGATCCCAGAAAGCCATCGGGGAGGCGCAGCTGTTGAAGCGCATTCCGAGGCTGGAAAACCGTCGAGAACCAACGTAAGCGTCCGAAAATCTCCCCCTCCTCCTCCCCCTCCTCCTCTCCTCCTCCACCTCCTCCTTCTCCTCCCTCCCTCCCTCCCTCCCTTCCTCCCCCTCCCTCCTCCCCCTCCCTCCCTCCCCTCCTCCTCCCTCCTCCTCCCTCCTCCTCGTCCTCCTGCCTCCCTCCTCCATCATCCTCCCTCCTCCCTCCTCCCCCTCCTCCCTCCTCCTCCTCCCCCTTCTCCTCCCCCTCCTCCCTCCTCCCTCCTCCCCCTTCTCCTCCCTCCTCGCTCCTCCCTCCTCCCTCCATCCTCCTCCCTCCTGCCCCGTGCCCCCCTCCTCACGCTGCTGGTGCCGACAGCCCCTATCAGCCGGCCAGGCCCGAGCACCGGCGGGGTCACGCCTAGCGTGAGCGCCGCCACGCTGAAGGGGATGCCCGGGCAGCAAAGGACCTACAAGGACGGCCTGCGAGGGAGGAGGAGGAGGAGGAGGAGGAGGAGGAGGCGAAGGAGGAGGAGGAGGTGCCGCCCCGAAGGTCCTCTCGGGAGGACACCTTCCGGTCGCCCCGAAAATCCTCTCAAAAAAATTCCGGTCTTGAATCTGGAATTTCTGGGGCCAGAAGGAAGGAGGAGGCGGAGGAGGAGGAGGAAGAAGAAGAAGAGGAGGAGGAGGAGAAGGAGGAGGAGGAGAGGGCCACCGTCTGCAGGAAAATAACCACGTCATATACAGGGAGGACTTCTTCGACGCGGAGACGTTCGCGGCCATGAAGGCCGAGGTTCACTCGCCCTGCACCCACCAAGCCGCCTCCTGAGAGCAGCGCCAGCGGACTTGCATCCCAAGATGTGGACTCCAGAGAAAAAATGATAAGTCTCTCTGGAGGGGAAAGTCTCTAGTGGCGGGTCCGCTGCTGCTGCAGTTGCTCCATGATGGTGCCGCTTGGCAAGACAGGCAGCATTGTGCTTTCCCCTCGGGAGGCCAGCCGCTGCCGCCTCCATCTAGAGGGAGCCATGCCCACCGTAAACTTATCCTTCTCACTTCCGTGGAGGGCAGACATCGGTCCAAAAAGCACTTGCGTTTCACGTTCACGCCGCAGTCTCGGGCGTGAGCACGAGGGATCCTGGACCGTCTTGCAAGTATTGTCCGAGCAAGCAGGGGAGGAGTGCAGCGAGAGGGGCGAAGGTGAGGAGCAGGAGCACGAGCTGGAGGTGGAGGAGGAGGAGGAGGAGGAGGAGGAGGAGAGGGGGCAGGGGGAGGAGAAGAACAATGATGAGGAGGAGGAGGAGATGAATAAGGAAGGGCAGAATAAGAGGAATATTGCGAGGAAAAAGAGTAAGAGGAGGAAACCAGAAGAGGCGGAGGAACAGGAGGAGGAAGAGGCGGAGTAGGACGACGAGGGAGATGGTCGAGCAAGAGGGTGGTGGGAAGACGAAGGATGAGAAAGAGCAGAAGAGTGTGAAGGTAGGAGGGAAGGGGCAGGAAGAGAAGGAGGGGACGGGAGGAGGAGGAGGCGGAGAAGGAGTAGGGGGGAGGGAGAAGGTGACAAAACAGCGCACGTAAGACAAAACGTGGAGGTGGTGGAGGAGGAGGAGGAGGAGGAAAAGAAGAGAAGGAGGAGTTGGGCGGAATTCGGGCGAAGGAGGAGGACGACGACACGGAATGTGAGCAGCAGCAGCAGCAGGCGGAAGCACGGGCGGATGGCGAAGGGAGCGTGATTGATAGGAGGAGGGGAGGAGGAGCTTGGTCTTCTTAGGGAAACTAGCGGACGTCGACCCCAGAGGAGGAGACGGAGGAGGAGGAGGAGCTGCAGGAGGAGGGGGAGGAGGAGGGTCATCCGGAGGATCTTGCAGCCACCAGGAAGCAGGAACCAGGAGGAGGAGGAGGAGGAGGAGGAGGAGGAGGAGGACGACGAGGACGAGGAGGAGGAGGAGGAAGAGGCAGAGGCAGAGGCGGAGGAGGACTAGTAGGAAGAGGAGGAGGAAGAGCAGGAGGAGGAGGAATAATCCAGGGGCGGGCATTACACGTGTTCGCCAGGGGCCCTCGCCGACGACGTGAACCAACGGCGCCCCTGGATGCATCTATTGTTCTCCCTTGGGCTATTCGCCATGATCGTCGCCTCCGACAAGAGGCGCCCTGCGTCTATTCCACATTCCGTGTGCACCCGCGTGCAAAAGCAAGACAATGGAGCGCGTCGAGGGTATCCCGTCCGTCCTGACAGGTTCTGACTTTGGACACACGTCGGGGGCGGCCAACAGGGGGGGATGATTAAGGGGGGGAAACCATGGCCGAGCCATGATATCTCCCCAGATGCCAGGGCCCCTCTTTTCATTTTCAGCACGTCCCTTGGCCCCCCCTTGGACCGCGAACGCGCCTCGGGCCATGATTTGCAAGCCCCCCTTTGGACGCCCTCCTTTTGGACGCCCCCGAGCCCAGTACCTCCCCCCCCTCTCTAGGCCTCCCAAATGGGGTCCGAGTGAATGGTGTCGAAGGATCGCGCCGCGTCGCCGATGCATCGGCGATGCGCCTCAAAGTGGATCCCGACTTCCTTCACGCCGACGGAGCCGATGCATTGACGACTTCGCTGGTGCATCGCCGATGCATCGGCGATACGGCGCGATCTTCCGACCCCAACTACACCGAGCCAGGGATATTGGGAGGGGCGAGGGAGCTTAAGAATCAGCGGCTCTGAGCCTAAACGCCGTAGTAACCGGCGCCCCTCATCCCACCCGCTTGGGGGAGCGCGTGCTGGTAGGCGCTGCGTAGGAAGGTACCCTTTACCCAGGTTCGAACCAGAGTTTGCACATTCGAAGCGCCCCGGGATCACATTCACGAATCGAAAGGAATGGGACGGGCGCGGTAGCTTCCCGCCTCGCACCTGCACCTCAAGCGGCAGGTGGAGGTCACGGGTGGCACACGCTCGCTCTGCAGCCGTTCGATCTTTCTTCTGGGATCGCCGCCTGCCAGGAGCCACGCTCCCGCAGCACCAAAACCTCCGTCCCTTCCCCACGTGCTGGCCGGTCTCGAGATCAAACGCCATCCGTCCGCTCCGCTTTCTCAAGCTGTGGCGCAGCATAGCTGCGGTGATATGGAGTCATCACGTTAGTGGTTCGTGCCGTACAACAACATCAGCAACAACAATCAGTTTAAGACTGTTCGATCTTATCTGCTCGAGTGTCCGTTAATTTGTATTTGCCAAACCCTCGATACCCGCCCTCTTCGTGTTCGATCGTACCCCTTTTGGGGTGTATATCTTTCTTCCCTGCAGGCCGGGCCCTGGCAAGAGGCGGGACGGCCGCGGACCGTCGGCCTGGCCAGCGGCAACGCTGATCGGCGGCAACCCGACCCCAAGAGGGATGGACAGGGGACCGACCACGACGACGACGACGACGACGAGCGAAATCGAGAGCGAGAACGAGAGCGACAGCGGGGCCACGAAGGGCAGGAAGGGGGCCGCGACGGGCGACAGCGGGGCCACGGAGGGCATGCGCATGTGGCCACGAAGGACGCGAACGAGCGGGGGCCACGAAGGGCAGACCCTGCGGGGCCACAACGGGCAACGACGGGGCCACTGAGGGTAGCATCGGGGCCACGCAGGGCAGCGATGGGGCCACAAAGGGCGACAGCGGGGCCACGAAGGGCATACGTAGATCGGGCCGCAGAGGGCAAGGACGGGGCCACTGAGGGCAGAAAACGGGGCCACGAAGGGCAGCGAGGGGGCCACGAAGAGCGACACCGGGGCCACGAAGCGCATGCATATGGGGCCACGACGGGCGCGAACAAGCGGGGTCACGATGAGCATACATATACGGGGCCACGAGACAAAGCGAAGGGGCCACGAAGGGCTGCAACGGGGCCACGAAACAAAGCGCGGGGGCCACGAAGGGCTGCAACGGGGCCACGAAACAAAGCGAGGGGGCCACGAAGGGCTGCCACGGGGCCACGAAACAAAGCGAGGGGGCCACGAAGGGCTGCAACGGGGCCACGAAACAAAGAAAGGGGGCCACGAAGGGCTGCAACGGGGCCACGAAACAAAGCAAAGGGGCCACGAAGGGCTGCAACGGGACCACGAAGGGCAGCGAGATCCCGACTCCTAAGTAATATGTGAAGAGTCCTAAGCGTGAGCACGACTCCTGGGTGCCTGAGGGTCGGGAGCGCGGCGCTTGAGTAAATTGCAGGAAATTCCAGCGCAAGGGCGCTATTCTCAAGGAAATTGCAAGCAAGTTTCCAGCGAGAGCGCGACTCCAGAGCGCCGAGAGAGCGATTCCTAAATTTATTGTAAGGAAGTCCCTAGCGAGAGCGCGAATCCTGACTAAAATGCGAGGAAGTCTTTGGCGGGAGCGGGGGTCCTGGCTAAATTGTGAGGAAGTCTCAGGCGGGAGCCGTTGTTGTTGTAACCCGGGGGCCATCAAAACAGTTTGAGGAGGAAGACTGTCCCTGATAAAGACTGGGTGCGACCGCCGGGAGGGGTACTTCAATTGAAAAAAATACCATGTGCGCCGGAAGGGGGTCAACAATAATCATTATTCTGTAGTGAGAGCTCAACAATAATAACGGTCAACAACAACGGCAACAACAGCAACAGCAACAGCAACAGCCACCACCACCACGAATAACAACAGCAACAACAACAACAACAACAATCAGTTTAAGACTGTTCGCTCCAATCTGCTCACGTGCCAATCAGTACGTATGTCCCAAACCCTCGGTACCCGCCCTCGTCGTCTTCGATCGTATCCCCTTGGTGGTATATCTTCCTTACTTGCCACGTCTATTTAGTGCAGTCCCTCAAACAAGGGAAGAGAGGACGGGTGGAAGGAGGAGGGAGAAGAATGGAGCACGAGAGAACTTAGCAAGAGGAGGGCAAGGAGCAGAAAACAAGTGGTAGAACTAGACGGGCAGATCGGGTGGGCAGACCCACAGCGGGCAGGTCGGGAAGGCGGGCCCAGGCGACGAGGTCGAGCAGGTGGGTCCTCCATGAATCGCGAGGAAGTCTCGAGCGATAGCGCGATTCCCAAGTAAACCGTGAGAAAAGCCAGCGTCGGCCACGAAGGGCATAAAATCCGAGGCCACAGAGGACAGCGACGGAGCCGCTGAGGGCAGCGCCGGGGCCACGAAGGGCAGCGAGGGGGCCACAAAGGGCGACAGCGGGGCCACGAAGGGCATGCATATGGGGCCACGACGGGCGCGTGCGAGCGGGAGCCACGAAGGGCATTCGTATACGGGGCCACAAAGGGCGACAGCGGGGCCGAGGGCAGGAAGGGGCCACGAAGGGCAGCGAGGGGGCCACGAAGGGCGACAGCGGGGCTACGAAGGGCATGCGTATGGGGCCACGACGGGCGCGTGCGAGCGGGAGCCACGAAGGGCATATAATGCGGGGCCACAAAGGCCAGCGACGGGGCCACTGAGGGCAGCAACGGGGCCACGAAGGGCAGCGAGCGAAAGCGGGCGAAGGGCAACGAGCGGCGACTGCAGTCATTAACGGGTTGGTCTGATTCCTGAGTGTCGAGGGCGCGGCGTCTGAGTAAATTGCAAAGAAGTCCCACGCGAGAGCTTGATTTCTGCATAAATTGTGAGGAAATCCCGCGCGAGAGCGCGATTTGGGAATACATCGTTGGGAAATATCAGGCGGGATCCGCTGTTGTCGTAAACCAGGGGCCAACAACATACAGAATTCTGAAATTCACGGTTATCCCTGATAGAAAAACAAGGTGCGAGCCCCGGGAAGGGCACTTCAATTGGAAAACGCAATGTGCCCCAGAGGGGGGTCAACAATTATCATCAACAACAGCAACAACAACAACAAAACGTCGTGCTGGACAGTTTCCATTCCCTGGCCACGTCGAGCCGCGGCCTGGTCGCCCGCCTTGGCCGCTGTGCACACCTCTTTCCGCGAGCATCCGCGACCGCGGCCGCACATGGCGGCGGAGACCCGCCTCCTGCGGACGCACAGCCCCCCGCTCCATCTCCAGGGCCTCCTCCGCGATGTCGGTGGGCAGCTGGATGCCAATGGCCACCACCCTCACGACACCATCCGCTTCAGCGTTGTTGCCCATATTTGGACCCGGCTGGGGGCCTGAGGTGTCCCAACCTTGGAAATTGGCCAGCAGGAAGGGCGAGCGAGCAGGTTCGTGGCTCTGGGTTCGGGGAAGCTTGCTGCCGCTGTAGGCCTCTGGGCGACGTTTTCGGGCCCCAGGAACTTGAAAAACGGATCCGGAGTGAAGAAATGCACAGCTGGCCTCATCCCCCCCTCCGCACCGACTTTTTCGTGTCCCAACCAAGATCCTTTGGCCACCTCCAACGGCCACCGCCCCCGCGACCTTACCCGCTTCAGTGTTGCACCAGCGAGCTCCGTAGCCAGCGTCTTGGAGTGCCACCTCGTCAAGGTCCAAAGTAGCTTTCAGCGTTCGCCAGCACCACATCGCCAGCCCCAAACAACCGTCGCAGCTCCCACCATGGGTCCGCGTGAGAGGCTGGCACCCGACGCCTCCGGCCCATCCGTGCTAATTTCCTGACCGCTTGCGCTCTGTCCGTGATGAGTGATAGCCACCAACCCACATGCGGAGCTCCTGAGGCGTTTGTGGCCCCAATGCGGCCTCGCGGAGGCGACCCCGGCGAACCACAGCCTCCCCTACTCGGAAACACGTCCAGGACCATTGCCGTCCACCATGTGGAGGAGGAGGAGCAGGAGGATTCGTTTTGGTTACGCACTTTGACTGCAGAGGGACGTGGGGGGGGAGGAAAGAAGGAAGGAACAGGTTGGAGGAGAAAGAGGAAGAGGAGGACATAACATAATCTCAGAGGGTCTTTAATGCTAACGGGGACCCCCCAAAGCTCTCGGCTCCCAGTTAAACTCGTCATTCCCCTCCTCGCCCTTCCCTTCATCATCATCGGCCGCCAGGAAACATTTTCCCAGTATTGTTGGGGTCCCAATCCGTCAATAAGCCCGCGCAGCAACTAATTATATTATCATCGTGAGGTAAAGACCTTCTGAGGTTAACAGAATGCTCGCGGAGTCCTGCGTCAACGCACCGCTACGCTACATCAAGACGGAATGTGGAGGAGGAGGGGAAGGAGGAGTGCGGTAGCCGGAGGAGGAGGAGGATATGGAGAGCAGTAAGAATTTGAATAATGCAAAAACGCTAAAGAAATCGACGATGAGAAGAAGGAGGGGCAGGCTGGAAGGAGGAGGAGGAGGAGGAGGAGGAGGAGAGCCTTCGCTTTCCCGCCAGCAGGTGCAGCGCTTGTGGCGGTCGCGGGACCTGGAGCCGAACTGTAACCTGGATGGCCGGAACCGGTTGGGCGGCTACGTGCCCGCGTCCTCCCTCGTCCTCCTCCCCATCATCACCAACGACAATGACTGATGAATGTTATCATCATCACCAGCATTATCATCATCGTCATCCTCATCGCCATCATCATCAGAATCAGAATCCGAATCATCATCATCAGCATCATCATCGTAGTATCCTCGTCGTCGTCATCGTCATCGTCATCATCATCATCATCATCATCATCATCATCATCATCATCAGCATCAGCAGCATCAGCATCAGCATCAGCATCAGCATCATCATCACTGGCATCGTAACCATCAGCAGCAGCATCTTCCTTTTGCACGATGAACGGGCCCTCTGACCGCACAAGCCGCCGTGATCCTCCTCGTCGTCCCTCTCCTCCGCCAGTGCCCTGCCCGTGCTCGTGCCCGAGGAGGCCGCCGAGATCGCTGGCCCTGCTGACGGCGGCGGTCTCTCGATGGCCTGGCCCGCACGGGCGTCCAGCGCACGGCCCCGCCCGGTGCAGCTCGGCCCTCCTGGCCAGGCAGACGTTCCAGTCGGCGGCGCGCAGAGGTCGGTCCCACGCAAGAGCGACCCTTCGCCGGAGTGACCTTTGGTGCGGGCCCATTGGGGTCCCCTGGTCGCCGAGTGCGATGCGATGGTAGCGTCTGGGCGTTTGTGTTTGGTCCCCGCGCGGCCCCCAGAAAGCCGCGCAGCGAAGGTCACTCTTGCCCAGGGTCACTCTTGCGTGTAGCCGAAGAGGGTGGAAGTGACAGGGGGGCAGGCCTTCTCAGAGGGCGGCGGAGCTTCTCGGAAGCCCTGCGGCCCTCTAAGGAGCCCTCTGGGGCTTCTGGTAAAGGCTTACGGCAGGTTCGCGTCGTGTCGGCGCACCGCGACACCGCCGCGGGCGTTCGAGGTTGAACGCCGCCTGTGGCCAAGACGCGGCCAGTATGGAACGATCTGACGACGGGGAAGCCGCCGGTCGTTCAAGGTTGAACGATCCAGGCGGTGTCAGAAACCAACGCTGGGGTCGTCACGAAACGGACCTGTCGCAGAGAGCGTCTCAGAAGGCCGCAGGCCTCCCGAGTCTTCTGAGGAGGCCCTCCCCGTTGCACTTCCCCCCGGGGCGCGCCGCAGCCCGTGCTCCCGAGGCCCGCCGAGGGCGTGCTCGAAAGCGCCTCCTCGGGAGGGCGTCGGGGGCATCGGAGCGTGCTGGGCGCGGCTGGCGGCCTCGTGCTCGAGGGGGGCAGGCAGGGGGAGGAGAGGGGCGGAGGAGGTCAAGGATGAGGAGGTGAAGGCAGCGGAGACGAAGAGGGAGAAGGACTGGGGAAGACGAGAGAGGCAGAGGAGGAGGATGAGGCGGAGGAGGAGGAGGAGGAGGCAGGGTAAGTGAGGAGGCGTAGAGGGTCAGGGAGCGATGGGGGGGAAGGGGAGGAAGGAGCGGGGAGGAGGGGGCAGAAGAGGGGAAGGTCCGCCTTGCACGGGCACGTGAGCGCCGAAGACTTCTCCAGCGAGTGCCGAGCGCGCGCCATTTTGAGTCCCAAATCTGGTTAGGGGCATGCCGGGCTGCATGCTTCGAGCCTCAAAGAGTCGAGAGTTTGCTCGGGCCCCGCCCTGGAGCTCCGCTTCGGTTTGCTGACGGCGACGCCGTCGGCGGCCACGGCGACGGCGGCGGCGGTGGCGCTGGCGGTGGCGACGGCGACAGCCGAGACGGCGGCGGCGGCGGCGACGGCGAGGACGGCGAGGACGACGACGAGGGCGACGTTGGTCTGACCAGCGACCCCCTCCACGCTGAGGGTTCATTGAGTGCGCCCATCTTGTGCATTGTCGCTCACCTCATCGATCTGATCCTGGTGCATCCGTTGCAGACCTCACGCGCGTGGTATCACTGTGCAGGTACTTGACATCAATCCCCAGGACACCAGCTTGTATAGGTTGATCTACGGCAACGAGGCCTTCCGCCGATGGGTGACCGATGTCAACAACGAGGATCCCGATTGCATTTCGTTTAAGTTGTTGCTTTACCTTCCTAATCATTATGCTCATACATCCTTCTCCCACTCCGCCTCCTCCTGTTCTTCCTCAGCAAGTCTGGCTTCTCAGCTTCTCCTGCCCTTCCCGACTCTGGCTCCTTCTGCTCTACATCCTCATCATCATCAGTTTCCTCCTCTTCCTCCTGCCCTCCTCCTCCTCCTCCTCCTGCCCTCCTCCTCGTTTTCCTCTTTTTCCTCATTCTACTCCTCGCCCCGAGAGGTCCCAAAAACCGCCTCAGATGCACCCACACCCAGGACGGTCCCAAGAAGATCCTAGGAGAGCCCGAAGGGTTTCAAGAGGCTCCCAGGAGGGCCTGACGACACCCCGACAGACACTCGAAACTGCCACAGAGCTTCAACGGCCCCACGACAGCCCCAACGGATTATTGTTACAGTTGTCTTAGACGTCCCGTAGAGCTCCTTGAGAACAACCTTAAAACATTATGTGTGATTGTCTTCAAAACTCGTGGTGTAATGCTCTGCTGACCTCTTACAAGTTTGACCCATACTACGTTTCGGCAGGAAGGGCTCGTTGCAGATGCGGTCGACTAGAACCGAAGCGAGTGCCAAGCGCGCTCGCGTGGCTCTAATATAGAACATCAAATGCGGAGAAGTCGAAGGGACCTGAGAACACTCCATGTTGTGCCTCGCGGCACGGTGGCGGATTCAGCTCAATATGCGAATGTGTGAGTTGGTTACGTTGAGGACATGGTACTGTATTTGCACGCGCTTGATCGGTGCACGCGCAAAGCTCAAGGGAGCAATGACTGTACAAAAAGGCACTTGATCAGAAGATGGGTAACGCCAGCGGCGCGCGAAGGATCTCTGGGCAGGATGCGGAACTGACTGGCGGAGAATACCGCATCAATATACACACTTGTGACTATTCTGTCATTAACGATTTCCGAAGCGATTGGAGAGAATGGCACCACTGGGCTCGTCAGTATAAGCAGCGGCCTATGTTGCAAGTCATGTTGGGGAGCGTTGACGCGACTACATCAGCCGAAGAATTGGCAGGTGCGTTCGCATGTTCGATAAGATGTGATGCCGTCTGCATTGTAATTGCCCGCCCTCTGACATGATGGATCTGTCTTGGCTGACACAGTGAGGCATGACCGTCTTGGAGATGCTCTTTGCCATGGAACTTCCAAGTTGGGCCAGCACGTGGAGTTTCAGTCGTGTGGTGCTGGGTGGAAGACGACCGCGCAGATTGGCCATACAGTCCCTCGCAGGGGCGTCGCGGCTGCGTCGCGTTGGCGGATGTCTCGCTAAGCGACCTCTTAGGGCGGGGATCTCCTTCGAGAAATCCCGATCGAGAGGCCGACAGGGACAGCAACCCAGCGGGGCGCTCGTCCTGACGGGTTCCGCAGATCAGGATGCCGCTGGATTCCGCGGGGCTCCGCAGGGTCCTTCAGGATTCGACAGGGTCCCTCTGGATGCCTCAGGGCGTCTCAGGGTTCTTCAGGAATCCTCCGGCTTCCCCAGGAATCCTCCGGATTCTTCGAGATTCCTCCTGATTCTGTCGACGCCTCCAGCATCGCCTGGAGGGCGGGGAAGATTTATCTCGCCCGCACCGTCGTTCGGTTGGCGCTCCGCTGAACGGTCCGACCAATAGTCACTCGGAGCCTGACGGTAGTCGGGAGACGAGAGAGAGAGAGAGAGGAAAAAAAAAAAAACAACAAAAAAAGAGAGAGAGAGAGAGATGGAGATGATGAGAGAGAGGGAGGATGGAAGAGGAAGAGAAAGAAAGAGAGAGAGAGAGAGGCGGAGGGCGATACAGAGAGAGCGAGGGGGAGAGGGATCTATCTATCTACATATATACTGCCCTTCGGTCCACCCCGCCACTGTGCCTGGGCTGTGGGTATGAAGCATATTGGATGTTCGTTGGGATCTCGTGGGAGGCCTCTCGGGGGCCTCTTGGAGGCAGTTTGAACGCCTCTTGGGTGCCGTTTTCGGGCCTCTTAGGGGCCTCTTTTGTGCCTATGTGGTGCCCTCTTGGGACGTCTTGAGCGCCACTTGGGCCGTCTTGCGGCCGTCTTGGGCTATTTGAGGCTCTCTTAGAGGCCTCTTGGGGCGGTCTTGGGGACCTCTAGGGCCGTCCGGGAGCGTCGGGGAGCCAAAAAGGCGAGAAAGCTGAAAACCTTCAATAACCGAAGGACAATCAATCAGTTTGGCCTCTCGGGGGCGTCTTGGAGACCTCTTGAGCCGTCTGGGGGCCATCTAAAGCGTATTGGAGAGATCGTTCGGCAACTCGGGGCCCTCCTGAACGTTTTGGGGCATCTTGGGGCCCTCTTGGCCCGTCCTGTGGCCCCCTTGGCTCCGAAAAAATTAAGTGACATGAGGCGACAAGCCCCAAGAGATTTCGAATTTTGGGGTCCGGGCCTTCAAAGCCTCTTCAGGACAGGACTGAGGCTCCAGGAATTTCGCAAAGGACCTGAGGACACGCCCACTCCGTGCCCAGAGGCACGGTGGTGGATATTACATCTATAGATACATACATATAGAGAGCGTGATCATCTTGCCGCCATCTCCCGTGGCGATTTCCTCGCGCTTCGATGGACGAGGCTCTCTCGGCCACTTCTGAGCCTCCCGAGCCGCCCGCATGACCTTCCACTGCGACTTCTGCTTGCATCGATACCCCTCCTCCTGCTCCCACCTCCTCCATCTCTCCTCCTCCTCCTCCTCCTCCTCCTCCTCCTCCTCCTCCTGCACCCTCCTCCTCCTACTTCTCCTCCCTCTTCCTCCTCCTCCTCCTCCTCCTCCTCCTCCTCCTCCTCCTCCTCCTCCTCCTCCTCCTCCTCCTCCCCCCTCCTCCCCTCCCTCATCCTCCTCCTCCTTCTCCTCCTCCTCGTCCTCCTCTTCTCCTCCTCTCCTCCTCCTCCTCCTCCTCCCTCCTCCTCCTCGTCCTCCTCCTCCTTCTCCTCCTCCCCTCCTCCTCCTCCTCCTCCTCCTCCTCCTCCTCCTTCTCCTCCTCCTCCTCCTCCTCGCGTTCCCATGATGGCCCAGGTCAAACTCGGTGTACGCTCGGCTCGGTCCAGACGGTTCGGGTCAGAACGTTGTTTAGGCCGCTCCAGCCGGTTCGGTTCTCGGATCTCTGGTTCGGCCGATTCGGTTCAAGACCCAGTTTTCGAGCTTCGGGTCGTTTGCGGGCTGCGTCCTCGCTCCTCCTCCTCCTCCTCCTCCTCCTCCTCCTCCTCCTCCTCCTCCTCCTCCTCCTCCTCCTCGGCCATCACATGTTAAATTGTCGTCCTTGCTCTGGTTGCGTCTCTGCAGGGCGACATGTGGCCGTCGGACTTCCCCATCGAGGTCCGCGAGTATGGGCTGGAGAGCAAAGGCCGGCACTGGGCCTGGTGTGCTTCCCCCCAGAGCCAAGCAGCTCCAACACCACCCAGGGCGAGCGTCGTTGTTAAGCGCGGAGGATCGACGTTGGTAAGTACATAAGGCTTCCGTCGGGAGCTCATTTGTGAGCCAGCTTGTGCCGCTGCAAGAAAAATTAACGAGCCCACAAGGTGGGATTGTGCACATCCCGCTTCGTGCTGCCAGTGTAACCATGCTGTGAGCATCTGGCCGCGTTGCTGGGGCCACGCTGGCTGGGACCAGCGTGATCCAATTTGGCCTTTGATTTCGCAGAAGGCTGCGACAAGCCCAAACACGTCCACTGAGGAGGAGGAGGAGGAAGAAGAACAAGAAGAAGAAGAGGAGGAGGAGGCGCCAGCATGGACTGCACTTCTCTTGGATGCGCTTCTTGGAGCGCCGGCGAGACGAGCCCGCCAGCGCAAGAAGGATCACCACCTCCTTGCGCGCTAGGTCTCAGGGCCAAAGCTCAGCATCGCTTAAGGGACCCCTATCCCCATCCCCATCCCCATCCAGACCCCCAGTTGCGGATATACCCCTCGAAACCCGAAGGGAACGGCCTACATTCCCATCTAGGGGGGCAAATCGGCCAGTGGGGCCCAGGCCACGCCCGTGGGGATGGGGATCGGTTAAACGATGCTCAGAAGCAGGATCTTTTTTGTTTTTCGGATGGGCTGCGCCTCCACACACTACCGAGCTGGCGCTCCTGGGACAACCTGGAAAAACTTCCCACGCCAGGCTATTCGCCTGCGTGGCAGTGCGGGGCGCCGCGGCTCTTATTCGGACACCGGGACAGGCCGACAAAGAAACGCGGGCCAGGCAAGGGGCAGAAACGAGCAAGAGAGCGAGGAGCCGAGGAGCGAGAAGGGGAGGGGGAGAGGGAGGGAGGACGACAGAATCGGAGGGGATCTCCACTCCGGCGACCTACACGTCAGCGCCACACAGCAGCAGAAACCCACCCCTGGCAACCAGGGGCACAGGAAGGGGGGGGCTGCGTCGGCATGGCCGGCCACGGTCCCCCCCCCCCCCCAAAGCACCCGTGCTGCAACGGGGCAACCTTGGCCGTGCATTGGCCTGGAGCAGCAGCATGCACACCAGTGCGATTCAGCTCCTCCTCCTCCTCCTCCTCCTCCTCCTCCTCCTCCTCCTCCTCCTCCTCCTCCTCCTCCTCCCTCCTCCTCCTCCTCCTCCTCCTCTTCCTCCTCCTCCTCCTCCTCCTCTTCCTCCTCCTCCTCGGCCATCACATGTTAAATTGTCGTCCTTGCTCTGGTTGCGTCTCTGCAGGGCGACATGTGGCCGTCGGACTTCCCATGTGGCCGTGGAGCAGCAGCATGCACATCAGTGCGATTCAGCTGAGCAGGACCGTGAGGAAGTCCGTCAACAGCAACAGCGTCGCCCCGACTTCGGCAGCCAGAGTACTCAGCACAAGGAGGGGGCCCTTCTCTGGCATAGCCGTCGACGGCACCCTCCCAGCGCGACTGCTGCAGAGGAGCGACCGTGGCCGTAATTACCTGAGCATGTAGCGCCTGGCTGGCCAGGGCTCAGCAGAGGCCCACTGTCAGCACCAGGAACGTGGGAGTCGGAACGCAAAAGCAACGGTTGCACCCCACCTTCAGCACCAGAGGCACAGGACGGAGCCCCATCGCCATGGCCGACAACAGCATTATTCTGGCACCTTTGCTGCAGTAGGGCCCCTGCGGCCGCACCTAGACTTGAAATGTCATCCTGGGCAGGGCCAGGGCGACTGGGATGAGTGAGAGAAATTAGCAGCGGATGCGCCCCACCGTCGGCAGCAGAGGTACAGGAAGGGCCCCCGTCGGCATGGCCAACAGCCGCACTTTTCCAGCACTTTTGCAGCAGTGGGGCCACCGTGGTCGTGCGTAGACCTTGAGCGTCTGCCTGAGCATGGGCAGGAAGACGCGGAGGAGGCCCATCGCACCGTAGATCGGCATGTCCCCGCCAGCGAGACGAGAATGAAGACCATGAGCAGAGGTCCTGCTGCTTGGCGTGCAAGCCGCACTGAGGGCTGGGCGCGCTCGGGAGCCCAGAGTGGCCGACCGCCTCCCAGTCACCCAGCTGTCGGTGCGGCCGGAACAGGAGCCGCCTCGCGGACCATCGAGCTGGGCTTGCAAGCGCCCGCGCGACCTTGTCGGCACCCAGAAAGGCGTGAACCTTTCTCGTGATGTCTGACTTTTGAGCGCACTCGTGGATGCGGTCGCTACACTCGTGAATGGCTGGCCGCTCGACCGTCATTCAGCTCAGCCCACCCCCGCTAGGCTTTGCGGTCAGCAGCAGCTGGGCTCTCGGGTCATTCGCGCCCCACATCGGCGCGCATGGCGCGTCGTTCCGCTGCCGTCGCTCGCGACCGCATGGAGGGAAGGAGCAGGGACAGGGGTAGTGGGCGGGCGAACGGACAGCTGGAGCCCAACATGGGTGCTCCAATTTTCATCACAAGAGGGTGCACCACCCTCCCAGGCGGGCCATCCCATAGCGCCCCCCAGCCGGGGGATCCCCCCCCCGACCTCTTGCCCGGGCCCCCGCCTCGAATCCTCCCTCAGACAGCTCGAGCCCGACCCCCGGCCCAAGCCAGGCCTCCCCCGTCCGCATGTCCCAGGCAGGGCGTGCACTGCGGGTTTCGGCAGGGCTTCGCCAGGTCATCGGCGAGGGGTTCCAGGTCGTTGCCCGGTCGCCGCCAGTGGGGGCCTCGTGGGCGCTTCGTGCGCCGGCGTGAGCTTCCCATTTTTTCGCCCGTGGGCGCGACCCGCAGGCGCCTCGCGCGCTGGCATGGGCGCCGGGGTTCTCGCCCAGTCGCCGCCGGGGGCGCCTCGTGGGCGCCTCGTGTGCCGGCCGTGCCACGCAGCTTGCGCCACACAGCCCGCACTGCGAGGCCGATGCCACATGGCCTGCACCCACACGGCTTGTTCCGCACGGCTTGCACCGCATGGCCTCGCTGCTCGGGGCCCACGCTGGCCAGCAGCAAGAATCCAGAGTAGCCCAAGCCCGCCGAGCTTTGCCGTCAGCAGCAGCTGGTCTCCAGGGGCGCTCGCACCCCGCATCGACGCGAATGGCGCGTCGTCACGTCGCCATCGTTCACGCCCACATGGAGGGAAGAGGAGGGACTGAGGGGGAGTGGCCGGCCGAATGGACATGTTGAGCCAAAATGACTACGGAGGAGGAGGAGGAGGATAATTCTTGAAGATGCCGTTGGTTTTCGGGGGATCCTGGACAGGAGGGAAGGGAAAGGGGGGTAGAGAGTTGAAAGACTACGCGTCCGAGGAGGGTCAAAACGGAGGCCCCACTCCCAGCGATGCAGCTTAGACAGGGCGTCGCAGATCTTGTCACCACGAGTCTCTGGGGCCCTGCGAGCGCTGGATGCGTTGCTGATCGGGCTGGCTTCTGGTGTAGGTAGGAGATCCCAGAACCCCCCCAACGCGATCTGTCCACAGCATGGACTTCGGGAGGTCTCGACCACTCCCACTGGACCAGCTTGTCCGTCCTGAGCCGTTTTCTGTTACGGCCCCCGGGGCCCGTGAGGGCCGCCAGAGGTCGAACATGGCGAGCAACCAAAAGCAGCAGCAAAAACAGAGCAGCTTCGCGACGCGAGATCGTCTGTCCACGACGCCAGCATGATTCGTTCATGACGACTCAAGGATGAGGATAGCAAACATTATGCGTGTTCACAGTGTGAAGAAGTTTGGGACGGCCAAGTACGATAAGAGGTCCGATCGCCCAAAGGCATGGGATGCCACCCGGACCTCCAGATGTACGCGGTCGACAAGAAAGATTTGGAGGAGCTGACCGCGCCCCCTCCCGCACGCGCGGGAGTGCGCGCACGAGGGAGGATAGCGTCGTTTGGATGTTCTGCTTGGTGGCGCCACCCGCCTCTGCCCCCCCTGTGGGCATGCGGTGGCCCAAGTTGCCTGTGGCGCGGACGACTGGGCGATTGCGTTGGTTATTGTCGAGTAGGCAGCAGGGAAGAGGAAAGAGGGAGGAGGGAGGAGGGAGCAGGGAGCAGGGAGCAGGGAGGAGGGAGCAGGGAGCAGGGAGCGGGGAGCAGGGAGCAGGGAGTAGGGAGGAGGGAGGAGGAGGAGAAGGAGGAAAAAGAGAAGGAGGAGAAGATGAGCAGGAAGAGGGGAGGCAGGAGGATGAGAAGGCCGAGAAAGTAGAAGGAAGGGTGTACGCGGTTGACAAGGAGGACTTGGAGGAGCTCACCGCGCCCGCTCTCGCAAGATTCTGCTCCTGAGGGGCGAACGACAGCCGGCGGCGACCGCGAGCACCTACGAGGAGGAGGAGGAGGAGGAGGAGGAGGAGGAGGAGGAGGAGGAGGAGGAGGAGGGAGGAGAGGAGGAGGAGGAGGAGGAGGAGAAGAGGAGGGAGGGAGGGAGGGAGGGAGGGAAGAGGATGGACGGAGGGAGGGTGGGAGGGAGGGAAGAGGAGGGAAGAAGGAGGGGAGAGGAGGGAGGGATAGAGGGATTAGGGAGGGAGGGAGGGAGAGAGGGAGGGGAGGGAGGGGAGGGAGGGGAGGGGAGGAGGAGGAGGAGGAGGAGAGGGAGGAGGAGGAGGAGGGAGGAGGAGGAGGAGGAGGAGGGAGGAGGAGGAGGAGGACGAGGAGGGAGAGGGAGGAGGAGGGAGGAGGAAGAGGAGGAGGAGGAGGAGGAGAGGAGGAGGGAGGAGGAGAAGGAGAGGGAGGAGAGAGGGAGGTAGGGAGGGAGGAGAGAGGGAGGTAGGCAGGAAGGAGGAGGAGGAAGAGGGTCGAAGATCGAGGATCGAGGTTCGAGGATGGAGGGTTGGAACGCGCTTGGCCTCCCAGGGCCCCTGGGAGGCTCCCAGGGACCTCTGGGAACCTCTCCAAGGAACCAGGGAAGAAGGAGGAGGACGAGGAGGGGGGAGGAAGGAAAAGGACGAGGACGAGGAGGAGGAGGAGGAAGAGGAGGAGGAGGAGGAGGAGGAGGAGGAGGAAGTGGAGGATGAGGAGGAAGAGGAGGAGGAGGAGGAGGAGAAGGAGGAGGAGAAGAAGGAGAGGGAGGAGTAGGAGGAAGGAAGAAGAAAGGAGGAGGAGAAGGAGGAGGAAGAAGAAGAAGAACAAGAAGAAGAAGAAGAAGAAGAGAGGAATGAGTTAGTTTCCCAAGGTTTTCGATGGGGGCGGCAGAGGTGTTTGGAAAATGATGTGAGGCGCCAAGTGTTGCAGATTAGTTCACGCTCCCTGGCTCAGAAAATAGGGAACTAAAATCGTACAGCTGGTGTTACTTCTTCGCCGTCCTCCTGACCAGCTCCCTTCCCTCTGTCTTCTCCCCTTCCTCCCTTCTCCATCCCCCCTCCCCCTTCCTTAATCGCGGCGCAAGATATTCCCTCGGAAAGGCGCACCTGGCGTGTCATCTGACCTTCTCATCCGTCTTTCCCCCCTCTCGGCGAGCGCGTTCCCTCCTCCTCCGCCTCCTCCTCCGCCTCCTCCTCCTCCTCCTCCTCCTCCTCCTCCTCCTCCTCCTCCTCCTCCTCCTCCTCCTCCTCCTCCTCCTCCTCGGCTGTCCCAACCCAAAGGCCCGCTACATCCTCTCGTTTCTTCACGCTGCTAGCCCCGTGCCCCCCCTCCGCCGCTGATGGTCATGCTCTGCTGCGGTTCGCCTCCCCTGTTTCGCCCATCCTCGTGGATGATGCGTTTGTTCGTTGTGTTGCAGCTGGGCTTGAGGGAGGGAGGCTGTTGAATCGAGAGAGGGAGTTCGCGCATCGAGATGCGAGGGCCGAGGTTCGAGGATCAAGGTTTTCGAACGTTTCTGATCCTTTTCTGGGCCTCGGGGGGCCTTCAGAGGCCTCTGGAGACCTTGGCGAACCCCTAAGAGAGGAGAAGGAGGAGGAGGAGGAGGAGGAGGAGGAGGAGGAGAAGGCGGAAGAGGAGGAGGAGGAGGAGGAGGAAGAGCAGCAGCCGCGGTAGCCATTTTGGTTGTGGTGATACGCGGTCCAAACCATTTCCCTGGCAGGCGCAAGGCACATCGCATTCGGTAACCTACCTTCATGTCTTGCTTTACGTGCTCGCAACCACACGACATGAATGGTAATGCTCATGTTTAGCCTTGTACCAACAAGCGATGCGGATATAAAGGCAACTTCAGATGGAGAACGGTTTGTCGGATCTGTGGCACCGAACCCAGCAGGCCCAAGCATACCGAGCAGCGCGACCCCGCAGGCAAGTGGAAGGATGGTCCTCCTCGGTCTGGGCCTCCTGCTCCTGACTTGTCTGAGGAACTCACTGCAGTGTATGCTAAGATGCCCTCCGAAGATTACGCAGTCGTGTCTAAAGGATGCAGCCTGGAGGCTGGCGATGTCGTGCCTGCTGCTCGAGCCGCTCGTCAGGCATTCGATGTTGTTCAACGAAAGCTCGAGCAAGCTCAAAGCAAGTATGACAGGGCGGCGGGTGCCGCGGCCAAAACCATGCAGCACATGCAGCAGTGCGCCACTGATTTGGCTGAGTGCAAGGCTAAGGCGGACGAGGCTGCAGCCAAGGCAGCTGCAGCCTACGCAGCCATTGGCAGGATGTTTCCCCAAAATTTTGGCCTCGGTGCGATTATATAGCCGTGACCTGGCCAAAAGAGGGGCACAAACTTGTACCGAGTAGTTTTGGCCCAAGTCTCGATTTACCGGTCGGCAACCCACCCTTGAACAGACATGGACGCCCCCTGAGCCCATGGCAGGGAGGGAGGCATCGTTGGGAAATCCAATGGCACATGACCTTTCTGCCACTACGTTGCATCGCATCCAAGTGCGTGGTCATGAAGTCCACAACCACAGGTGCAAAGGATTTACATTGGTACCGAGAGACTCTGACTGGCAACCTTTTGGTCCAGACCAGACCTCCCGCTGCGCGAGCGCAGTGCCGCGGGGGCACCAAGATTGTTTGAGCCCTAAGCCCCCAATCAGCCTGGCATATATCGTCACAGGTGACTGAGGGGACCGGTGTGCAATTCTGGAGCGGCACCACTTGCACATCCTGGCCCTCCACAGTAGCGGCGACGTTCGCTGCTGCTGCGGCTGGCAGCGGCGGCGGCGGAGGATGGGGAGGAGGTACGGGGGGGAACGGCAGGATTTATCGCGTGGCGCCAATGCCGGTGACGAAGTCCGGCTGACGCAGAGACCGTTTAAATGTGAACAGCAACGCCGCCTTTGTAGGCGCCAGCCTTGGGAACAACGGGAGCGCTTGGACCACATACTTCAGATATCGACGCAGCGATTCCGACTCCTCAATCCAACCAGCGACCTCCGAGCCCCACGGCTGCGCTAAGGTGAGGACCTCTTTCTTAGCGTAGCTGTCTGCAAAAAGTTGTTGCCGACCGTTTGCTGCCACTCGAGGGACAAATGTGGAAGGTCGTCAGGGCTCGCATGGGCCGTAACCTTCCAAATCTGGAAATCATGGGTCCACGAGGGCAAACCCCGAATCTGCGCGTGGAGCCCCTGCATAGACGTCTTATCTCGTCGCAACTTGGGCCCACGGCTCGTCTGCCATCTTTACAAGGCCGAGGAAATCGGAATATATTAAAGCCACACGGGGGCAGAGCTGCATCACTGCCAAGACGGCGATACTTTCAGCAGCCAGTGAGGCTTGGGGGTAGTCGACTCCTACCGCCCCCCACAACGCAGCAAATAGATCTCCTGCCGGTGTGACTTTCACTACAGCCCAGCCGGCTGCATGGAAGGTCACGGGGCCGTCCTTAGAGCAGGAGCCATCCGTGAAAACTTCTTTTGTGCATGCCTCCTCGACCGAGAGGCCGTCTTGCAGACACCAATACTGATGCGCGTCCGTGCCCAAACCAGCCGGCGGAGTGGCCACGACCTCAGGCCGTTCTTGGAAGCCACAAACGAAAGGAAAGTTTCGATGCGGGTCCGAAAGCACAACCTTGTCCGCTTCAGTGAGCAGTTCGTCTCGGAGCTGGCGGGTGCATGGGCAGTGGCGCAGCCTGTGCGAAATAGAATCGGAGGGCCCTCCGCAAATGCATCTGGAGTCCACTTCGTCGTAACCCACCTGTCGAAGCTGGTGCGCCGTCCACAGAGACTGACATACAAAATACAATTGCAAGCCACACCCGTGGCGCGATAGGCTGCACTGTGCAATGAGGCGCCTTGCTATGCTGAAGTCTAACTGCGCGTCATACGGAAAGCCTATTTTCTGGGCGATGGTCGATGCGTTCGCTTGCGCCCATTGCCCTTGACGCTTCAACTCCAAGAGCTTGGGGGAGAAAGCCGTCAGGGGCCAGCGTCGGCCAGCCAGGTCCTGGAAGATGAGCGGAGTATGGAGGTTCACCCTATACGTCTCAGAGAGTACTGGAGCACCCAGAGCAGAGTTTTCCTGGGCGAACTGGAGAAGAAGAAGAAGAAGAAGAAGGAGGAAGAGGAGGAGGAGGAGGAGGAGGAGGAGGAGGAGGAGGAGAGGGCGGCATCCGACGGATCGTATCGCCTTCAGCTTGGCAGGTCGTCAGGAGGAGGAGGAGGAGGAGGGAGGAGGAGGGGAGGAGGAGGAAGGGAGGAAGAGGAGGAGGAAGGAGGAGGAGAGAGAGGAGGAGGAGGAGCAGACGGAGCGCCTGTCAGGAGGAGGAGGAGGAGGAGGAGGAGGAGGAAGAGGAGGAGGAGGAGGAGGAGGAGGAGGAGGAGGAGGGGGAGGGGCCGAGGAGGCAAAGGATTGGGGATGTACCTTCCGGGCATGTCTCTTGTGGAGCTCGAGGGAGCGACACGACGTGCGAGCGGACTGACAAGGAGGAGGATGAGGAGGAGGAGGAGGAGGAGGAGGTTCAGACGCTATAACCCTAAGATTAAAGTCCGCTCAACGTCAAAAGGGGAGGAGGAGGAGGAGGAGGAGGAGGAGGAGGAGGAGGAGGAGGAGGAGGCCTCCTCAACCCCTTGTCTGTTGTTGGTGGCTCTTACCTTGTACCCCCTTACATATACTTGCCTCGACCCTCGGAGCGGTGCTCCAGGGGTCGAGGGCACTAGCTCAATCAAGCCCCCCAGGGCCGACTGGCCTTGGCGAGGGGCGGGGCGACATCAGTACCGAACTTCACGCCATCAACTCACCTCACACACGAGGAGGCCTGGAGGGAGAAGGTTTAAGGAGAATGGGGGTTGGACAGCGCGCGGGGCGGGTGGCAGCGCAGACACGTAACCCTTTAGCTCTCTTATCGTCATTTAGCTCTCTTATCGTCCTCCTCCCCTCTTCATCTCTTTGTCCTCATCTTCATCCCCGCCACTTCAGTTTGCCTTCACGATCGAGAACGACTCCAAGTGCAACGTCACCTACTGGGACGCATCCAACAAGTTGCACGAGGCACGATCCAGGGCTACAACGTGTCATAATCAGCATCATCATCACCACCACCACCACCACCATCATCATTGCCTCAATGCTGCACCTACTCCCTCGTTCCTAACCCCATCCCTCCTCCATCCTCCCTCCCTCCATCTATTTTCATCCCCTTCCTATTCCATACTTGGCCATGTTGGTCCAAGCCATGGGCTCAAGCGACCACGGGGGCCACGCATTTCAGCTGCCCTCGTGCTCCAGGGGCAACGCATTACAGCTGCCCTCGTGTTTCACTCTATGTTGGCGGCACGAGTTCTTACCAGCGTCGCGTCTCGCGGGAAGCGTTAAGCTTGGGAAGCACATGAAGCGATTGCTTGCCCTACATTCGGCGGCGAGCCCGGGGGGGAAGTGAGAAGGAGCAGGCCTTCTCAGAACTCAGCGGGGCTTCTCCGAAGCCCCTCGGCCTCCTAAGAAGTTCGCTGCGTCTTCGGACACGGCTCAGAAGAGATGCTCCGAAGGCCGGAGGCCTTCCGAGCGTTCTGAGAAGGTCCGCTCCCTCTCACTTCCCATTGGGCGCACCGCCGATACACACCCGGACCTCTGGCAGCTCGAGGACAGCGCGCTCGAGGCTTTGCCTTCTGTTCGGCCTCTGGCCGCTTCCGGGCACCAGGGCCTCGAGCAGACGGCTTGGAATGCAGAAGCAGGCCTTTGGGAAGGGACAGCTCCAGCGGCCCGCGGGTCGAATAAGACAGAGCCGCCGAATTCCCAGGATGCCCCTGCAGCGATTGCCTGCTACACGGCGGGGGCGTTCCCTAAGGAATGTGCCCAGGAGGCTTCGGACTCTGGGGGGTCCCTTCTGTACTTGAGGACGGTGATCTCCGTGGCCACTCCACGATTGGGGCTCCACCAGTTCCCAGACCCTGGACTCCTTAGCCAATGGCCCCTCGTCCACTGCCCTCACCGTGCACGTTCCGCTCCGCCGGCGCGCACGCGGCGACGGTCGCCCACAGGTCGACCCCGAGCGGCGGCCGCGGCTGCGGCGGGGCCCGAGCGCCACTCGGCACGCCGCCGGCGTCGCAGCGGCATCGCAGCCTCGCGGGAGCCACGGGGGGCCCGCGGGCAGCTCCGCCGGGCGCGGGGGGCTGCCCCACTCGGGTCGCGGCCACGCGTGAGGGTGACCATTTGCCGGAGTAGCCTCGGGTGCGAGCCCATCGGGGTCCCCAGATGCCTCGGCGGCGAGCGAGCGAGGGGGGAAGCGAGAAGGAGAAGGCCTTCTCAGAAGCCCTCGCGCCTTGAGAAGATGTCTGCGTCTTCGGAGAAGGCTGGGGGGACTTCCGAGACTTCTGAGAAGGCCCGCCCCTTCTCACTTCCCCCTCGGGCTCGCCGTCGGAGGGCTGCATGCGATGCGATAGCAGCGGCTTGCGCGCTCAAGCTTGGCCTCCCCGCGCCCCCCGAAAGCCGCGCAGCAAAGGTCACCCTTGCCTTGGGGCCACCCTTCTGCGCGCAGCCACCGGAGCTCGGCCGCGCGCAAGAGTGGCCCTTCGCTTCGGTGCAGGCCCGCAGGGCTCCCCCCAACACTGGGCCAGCGTGCTCGGATTTGGGCCACGCGCGGCCCCCTGAGGCCGCCGCGCACCACAGGCCACTCCTGCCCACGGTCACCCCTGCGTGCAGCCGGGACTCTCCGAGGGCAGCGACCGCCTGCCACACGGAGGGCCACCCCGGGGCCTCAAGGCTGGGCTCCGCGCCTGCTGAGGCCCGAGGCCTGGCACGCGGGGCCCCCGCGCCAGGCGGGCGAGGCGCGCCTCCGAGCCCGTGCGAGCCATCGGCAGGCCATCGTGCGGCGCAGCACGTTGGGGCGGCCGCAGGGCGAGCTGGCACGCGCGCGGCGGCGGGCGTGGCGCCCCGCGGCGCCACGCGCAAGGCCGCCCGCGCCTGGCAGCAGTCGCAGTGAGACGCGCCCAGGCCAGGATCCAGGCGCACCGCCATCCCCTCTGCCCCAGCCGCCTCGGCACGCCCGTGGACCGCCCGCGCGCCCGCCAGCCCGAGCTGCCGACGGAGGAAGGGCTTGAATCCCAGATCCGTGTCGTGCTTCTGGGCGCCCTCAAGTAAGCGTCCTGGCAAGCATCGGGTGGCCTTCGGAGGCCTCTTGGGCGCTTGTTGGGATCTCTGCGGGTGCCTCTCTCGGAAGCCTCTTGGAGGCGGTCTTGGGGTGTCTTGAGGCCTCTCGGGGGCCTCTCGGGTGCCGCTTTGGGGCCTTGTTGGGGCTTCTTGGGTGCCTCCTGGGGCTTCTTGGGAGCAAATTGGGGGCCTGCAGGCGGTGTCGGGGGTCATCTTGCAACGAGGGGCTCGAAGTATCAGTTCGTGCTCCCCATCTTCGGGACCTCTTGCCGCCCTTGGGGCCTCTTGGCGGCCTCTTGAGCCGGGCGATCTGGGAGTCATCTTGGGCCGTCTTGGAGCGTCCGAAGTCCGAAAAGGCGAGAACGTTAAAATGATTCAAAACCAAGTGGCAATACATTATGTTTGTTGTCTCTTGGCGCCCTCTTGGATGACGTTTTGGGGCCATCTTGGGGCGCCTCGGGGGGCCGTCGGGCCGTTTTGGGCGTCTTGGAGTGCTCTTGGGCCGTCATGGGGCTCTTTTGGGCCGTCGTAGCTGAGGACGCTCTTGGCCAGTTTTTGCGCTCCCCGGCTTCTGGACAAGTAACGCGACCCTGCCCAGAGAGCGCCTGGTAGCGCCCAAGAGCGCCTGGAATTCGGGGAGGTGGGCCCCTTTTTTGTTGTTTGTTCGTTTGTTTCTTTTTTAGGCAGTACGCTTACACGATTCCTACTCAACACAGAAGACGCTAAAGGACCAGAGGATATTTTCACTACATGCCAAGGCACGGTGGCAAACCTTCGAGGATCAACAAGGAGCGTCATGGCAGGCACTTTCGGGCGCTGCGGGGAAGCGTCATGGCAGGCACCTCTGGGCGCTCCGAGCAATCGTCCTGGCCAGCACCGTCAGGCACTCTGAAGAAGCGTCCTGGCGGATACTTCCGGGCGCCCCAAGACCAAGCACAAAGCACACCAGTTCTGCGGAAGCGAGGTGGATGGGTCGCAAGACATCGGCTTCCCTCTCAATGGAAGCATCGGCGCTGGTCCTCGATGCTTGCCCGGGACGACGCAGCTGCCGCCAGGCCCGCGAAGCAGAGGCGCGGCACGGCACGCAAGAGCTGGCGGCCGCCGAGGAGGACGCGCTCTCGCAGCGCGAAGCGAGCAGGGGAAGATCGCGGGCTGCGGTCATGTCGAGAAAGGCCCGCGGAGCTCGAGCCGGGGGGAGGCCAGGATTCGGCGGCGAGCCCGGGGGGAAAGTGGGAAGGGGCGGGCCGTCTCAGAAGGTTCGGAAGTCCTGCGGCCTTCTGGGAGGTTTTCCGAGCCTTCCCCGAAGACACCGGAGCTTGTCCAGAAGGCTGGAGCGTTTCCGAGAAGCCCCGCTGCCTTCTGAGAAGGCCGTCTCTTTCTCACCTGCCCCTCGCTCGCCGCCGAAGGATGAGCTCCGTGGCTGGCGTGGCCTCTTCGGGCCAGCGCGTGCAGCGTCGAAGAGGCTGCAGGGCCAGGCCGGCGTCGACGATTCCTTGCGGGCGATGCCGCCGCCAGACACTTTGCCATGACCAGTGCTGGCAACACAGGCCTCTTATCGACCGTCGCCGACCCGCGACGAGACCGCAAAGATCGTGGACTGGCGCATACCTGATGAGGACCCCCGCGTTCGCACGAGCGACTATCAGCTTCTGACGGTCTTCACGCTCGGCGTCTCGGAGGGCCAGTGGGGCGCGATGGTAAGCGTGTCGCGTTGTGCTACTTTCTTGGCACGCCGCTGGTGCACCGCACGGGGTCTAGGATCATGGACGCGGGCCTCATGGTAAACCTGCTGCTCACAATCCCAGTTCACGACTCTTCTTTCAAGCAAGGGCTCGCGAGATCATGACGGCGCGCGGCTTGAGCATCTTCCACAGGAGCGCGAGTCCTGAGGGCCACCGATTGTCATCCCAATTCCATGAGCGGCTGCGGGTGCGCTTGACGGGGGGCAACGTCAAGAAGACCCTGGCGTTTGCCGACAACCACTTTCGGAGCACGGCAAAGAAGAAGATCGCCCCGGGCCAGGTGCGAGACATGTCCGAGAGGAGGCTAGCAGTGGTGGAGGTGATCTTGAGCACGAGCGTGTGCATGTATACCCCCTGGAAGTCCTGGGGACGCCCTGGGCCGGGGACACCCTGGACAACACGCCCGATGTTTGTAGGATCCCACTCAGACCCCAGGGCCGGTCGGAGGCCAAACAGGAGTTCACCGATCCCGTTCTACCCAGTACGAAGGAGGCATGGCCCGCCCCCTTTGGTCGCCGGAGGCGGGCGAGCTTCACCTCTCCCGCCAGTTCCTTCGTCTGGCGCTCCGCTGAGCGCCCTGACCAACACTCGCGCCTGACGTTAGCTGGGTGCGGCGCCCGCGCCGGGGATCTGCGGGGAGCGTGAAGCGTGAAGTCCCAGCTAAGGAGGCCCGCCGGGGGCAGGACAGCGTGCTACAGTGCAGCGGCAAACTGACTGAAGGAATTAGGGATTCGCGCTAAACATCTGCAGCGCTCGCCCACGAGGCGAATTCACCAGATAACTTATGCCATGCCTCACGATCCTGAGCCGTACTTGCCCACTCACCATGCCCTCCCTGCATGTAGAAACGTTTTAGTGCGTGTTCAAACTTCATCCGTGGGCGCCTTGATGGCCTCACTGGCCTCAACCATTCATCTCGGATATCATTCTGTCAATTTGAATTCCTCCGACTGGTGACTCGACAAAGCCATTCCCAGTCGGACAATCGCGCAACATGTCTGGCTGTCTGGCCCATCTCCACTTTCTCATGAAGCGTTCATGTGCCCAGTCCCTCACCCCGGCATCACGTGCAAATTTCCTCGCCTGCCTCGTCGCTCTCTGCACCCACTCAACCCAATCCTCATCCTCCGCGCGTCCAACACATGGAATCCTCTGGAGCATGGCGTCCTGCGTGGCACGAAGTCTCCGAAGTGATTCCACTCATGGCGTCCTAGGTTACGATCCCCATCTTGCGGTCCCCGTCACTGTGCTACTAAAAAGCTGCAGTCGCTTCTTCAACGAAAAGATGTTCCTCGTGAGCACCCTTTCTCATGCCCAAGACTTGTTCCATGCTTTCGCGATCCAGTGTGTGACTTCGTTCCCTGTTGGGTCCTGGAGGCACAACTTGGTTCCCAACAAGTCGAGGTAATCACCAACTGGCAGTACCTCAATGGAAAAAACCCTCCTCATTCTCGATGTGCCCCCGCTGGAAATCGACCCTGCTCGTCTGTACTGGACATTGAGATGAATGCAGCGAAAGCCCTCTTCGAAGCAGGGCATTCCAGAGCGTGGACAGCATGCGTCTGATAGACAGCCATGATCTAGCTACGAGCGTTTGATCATCCGCAGATGCTACATGCGTCAGCCTGTCTCATTGATTCCCGCTGAAGAGCATTGGAGGCAAAGGGTCCCCCCGCTTCACCCCCCCCCCTTCCTTCACAGCAAGCTCACTGCTATCTGCACCTGGCCATAACGCAATAGAGCCTTTCACGTCAAAGTACAAACGACGAAGCATCCCCACCACTTGTTGGTCAATGTCAATCCTCCAACAACGCAGCAAGAAGAACATAAAGGTTACTCTGAAAAGCTTGTTCTACATCCAGCATAGCTACCCACAACTCCTCTTCCCATTACAAAGACTTCTCTATAACAGTGCGCATGATGTGTGGGGCGTCTGCACACCCGCTTCCTGGTCGAAATCCAAGTTGTTCACGTCCCAAACGTATGTCGATGATATGTGCGATCCTGTCGTACACCACCGTACTGAACAATTTAGCCATCACTGGAAACACTGCAGTTGGTCTATAGTTTTTCAGCTGCGTCGTTTCTTGAAGAGAAGCCGGAATTTCATAACTCTCCATTCCTCCGGCGGTAACAGGCTGCCTTGCAACACTTCGGTAAAAAACGGCGCAATTCTTGTCACAAACCCTGCATGCCCCGCTTTCAACATCTCCGTTATAAACCATCGTCCGCAGCGGCTTTGCCAGCATCGATTTTATCTGACGCGGATACGAATTCCTCCTCAGTCACGAGCCCCCCCTGTACTCCTTGCGGCAACGCATAACCATCACCCCCACAATCATTGTAAAGCTCTGATTCCTGTGATCCGCTTTGCGCCGTGATGCTTCTCCTCCAGTCTTTTCAAACGTGACAAGCCCATGCCCTTCAACAGCGCATTCTCAATTTCATCCATCCCTTCCCTCCTCAAAGCCTTCCAAAGTGCCTTCGGAGCTCTCGTCTCCTATCTGGGTAAGGTTCGAACCGTCTTCTGTCAAACAAACTCTTTCCCTCTTCAGAGTAGTCAGTGATCCCGATCCCGACGTTCCGCCTTCCTCCCCCATGTCTCGCCGCATCCACAATCATATCCGTAGGATATTTCTTTCCTTTTGCCAGCACTGATGCACTCATCCCGTGTATCATTAAACATTGTTGGGTGGCCACCGTCGTCCTGCTTACCCTTCCAATTCACATGTGTTTTCTTATTCCTCCTTTGTCGTGGCGGTTTTTTGGAAAACTCGAAGATGCAAGAATCGCTCACTGGTCTGATTTCCCTTCCAGATAGTGCGATACGCCCCAGCCCTGCATACTGTCCCCTGGGTCTCATCTGCAAATCCGTAATCAATCTGCCTCAACAATACGGTGCTCCATTGCTTGTGCGTCCAACGGTCTCCCACAGGCTTCCCCCCAAAAGTTCGCGAGGCACTCAATCTGACTCCGTGGAGCCACCCGGCCAACGAGTCGCCTCTCTCACTCCTCCTTCCCAAACTTGACTCTCCAACACCGTCGTCGCAATATTCTACTCTTTCGCCGATCACAGCGTTTGCGTTTAGTCCCACAACATTTATAAAACCCTCCCCTGAGACCCTGCTCCAGAACTTCCCCCAGTATCATCAACGCAGCGTCAGAATCGTCATCGGAGTTCTCGCTGTGAGGGAGGTGTGCGCTCGAAAGCCTGATCCGAAAATTACCAAGAACTGCGTCCACGTGCGCAACCCTCTGGCCAGCAACATGGAACGACATGCTTGAAGCTTGTGGCTCCCCCCACCCATCTCCTGTGCAACAAGCAGCGAGAGGGAGGCACGGTCATCGCGCCACCACCAGGAACTCAAAGCAGCGAACGGAGAGCCATTGTGGCCACGGCGAGCCTCGGCCACGAGCGGGTTTCCCGACCTGGATCGGAGGAAGGGGTCCGAGAACCAGAGCCCTTCCTGAGCCCAAAGCGGTCCCCGTTCGGTCACCGCGCATGCCGCCCTGGGCAAGCGCACGGTGACAGATGAGCGACGAGCATACAGCGAGCGGCTTGAACAAGGAACACTTACTTTTCAAAAGGGGCTCGGTCGTTCCTCATGCTTGCATGCGTTATTGAGCGCTCCTTGCGCGCTATGTATTATTGGATCGTTCCTTGTGCGTTATTCCTTGGAAGAAAGGGGCTTCGGTCCTTATTTATCGTTCCTTTGGTCAGGCTGATGACTGTAGATGTTCCTCACACGAGAAAGCATAGCGACCTCGCCGCGGCCTGCGTGGGCCACCAGCGTGGCACACCGCGTGGAAGAGGTCAGCCCAGAGTGTGCACCTGGACGAGTCCGGCATGTCAAGGATTCGGGGCAGATTCTGACCTTGTGGCATGTACTGCGCTGTCCTGTGCTGCTGCTCCTCTCTTACGGTTGCGTGATGCCCGATTCTACGAATGGCCGTCCGGATCATGAGAGGAGGCATTCATCGGACGGGGCTGGGACGAGGTTAACTCCTTTCCAGAGCGTTCCAGAACGCTCCCAGAGCGTTCTGGATCGCTCTGAGAAGGCCGCGGCGCCCGAGACATCCTCCAGAGCCGCTTGACCTCAGAGATTCTTGATTTGAGGCGTTCCAAAAGGGCCTTGCCTTCGAGGATCGAAGGAGTTGACATCTCTTCCTCGGCGGAAGGCGGCGGAAAGTCGGCGGACGTAAAATGAGGCCGCCTCCGCCGGCGGAAGCCGGCGGAAGGGCGGCGGAAAGGTGGCGGACGTAAAGAAGACGCCCCTAAGAGATGACAACATTTTTGGTTGCAGGGTTCCCGGAATCCGCCATTTACCCTCACCCGTCGTGGCTTCCTCTTCGTGGATTCAGGGTTCCTCGTCGTGGCTTCATCTTTTTCGGTTTCATCGTTTTGGTTCCTCGCCCATACACCCTCACATGTTTTGGTTGCAGGGTTCCTCGTCGTGGCTTCATCTTTCAGGGGGCGCGGGAGGGCGCCAGACTGCCCAGGAGCCTGGGCAGGGGCGAGGAGAGCCGCGGGAGAAGGGCACCCGAGAGCTGGGATGCGGAGCACGGGCTGAGAGGAGGGAGGAGCAGCGGGGAAGAGCAGGGAGGAAGAGGGAGAGGGGAGGCGGAGCAGGGAGGAGCGGGGAGCAGCAGGGAGGAGGAGGAGGAGGAGGAGGAGGAGGAGGAGTTTCAACGAGAGCGTCGCATCAGCACCGACGGATATCGTCCGCAGCCTCAGCCTCAGGAGTAGCAGGGAGGAGGAGGAGGAGGAGAAGGAGGAGGATCGGGGACCCAGGATCCTGAGGCTCCTCTGCGCCGCCGACTTGAATGTGTGAGTGTGTGTGTGTGAGTGTGTGTGTGTGTGCCTGCCTTTGCGCTTGCAGCCAGATGTCGCCTTTCGCCTAGAAGTTCGCCTCAACAGTTTGACAGCATGAGTGTGCACCTGTGGTGCCTTGATGATGGCCGACGACACCAAATAAGCAAGCAACAATGTGATCAGTGTACAAAGTGCCTGCAGCAAACCCAGCCGTGTCTGCGCAGCCCCATCCATTATGCAACATGTTGCTTGGCAAGAGCAAGTTATGCACACGTTTCGCGAGATACCGCTCGTACCATCGCGCCCGCGACAAAATAAGTGCTCGCAGCCAGACTATTGCGCTTAACACGGCTCTTGGTTTGTTGGGCTATGCCGTCCATTTTTTTGCACCCCGTCTGAGGTCCAGACGCGCGCCAACTCGCTGATGATGGTGCGGGCGAACGCCGCGAGACATTGCGTGTCGCCCACCGTGGAGGGCACCAGAACGATCGTGAAGTTCATATTCGTTGGGGACTACCGCAAGTCCAAGGCAGCCCGCCTCACATCGCAAAGCGCCCGTGTGTTTCCCCCCCGCATTTCTAGCACTGCCCTTCCTTCCTCACCGTGCCCTCCTCCTCCTCCTCCTCCTCCTCCTCCTCCTCCTCCTCCTCCTCCTCCTCCTCCTCTTCCTCCTTCTCCTCCTCGTCCTTCTCCTCCTGCTCCTCCTCATCCTCCTCATCCTCATCTTCCTCCTCCTCCACATCTGCATAGCATGCTTTCGGCTGGGTCCAACCTCCCCCTTCTCTCCCTCATCCTCCCCCTCTTACTCCTCCCTCGTTCCACCACCCACACCCACCCCGCCTCCCAGAAACAGATCGAACCTCTTGGCGTTCCCCAGCTTGATGGCCGCCCGGGGGCAACCCCCGCCGCCGCCCCACCCCATCCGCCCCCATCTGCCCTCCCCTTTTCCTCCTCATCCTCCCCCCCCCCCCGCCCGATCCTCCGCCGCATCATCTCGTCTTCACCCCGTTCTTTCTCCTCATCCCTCCACTCTCCTCCGCCCCCTCCTTCTTCCCCTCCTCCTCCTCCCCTTAACCCCTCTTTCCCCTCCTCCTCCTCCTCCTTTTCCTCCTCCTCCTCCTTCGTTTCCTCCTCCGCCTCCTCTTCTTCCTCCTCCTCCTCCTCTTCCTCCTTCTCCTCCTCCTCCTTCTCGTCCTCCTCCTCCTCCTCCTCCTCCTCCTCCTCCTCACATCATCATCATCATCATCATCATCATCAATCATCATCCCCCTCCTCCTCCTCTTCCTCCTCCTCCTCCTCCTCCTCCTCCCTCCTCCTCCTCCTCCTCCTCCTCCTCCTCCTCCTCCTCCCCCTCCTCATCCTCATCCTCATCCTCATCCTCATCCTCCTCCCCCTCCCCCGCCCCACCCTCCGCCGCATCCCCCTCCTCACCTTGTTCTTTCTCCTCATACCTCCAGTCTCCTCCGCCCCCTCCTTTTTCCACTCCTCCTCCTCCCCTGAACCCTCTCCTCCTCCTCCTTCCTCCTCCTCCTCCTCCTCCTCCCCTCCTCCTCCTCCTCCTCCTCCTCCTCCTCCTCCTCCTCCTCCTCCTCCTCCTCCTCCTCCTCCTCCTCCTCCTCTTTATCCTCCCTTCCTCCTCCTCCTCCCCACCTTTCCTCCTCCTCCCCCTCCTCCTCTTCCTCCTCCTCCTCCTCCTCCTCCTCCTCCTCCTCCTCCTCCTCCTCCACCTCCTCCTCCTCTTCCTCTGTGTAGTTCTGTGAACGCCATTGCCTACCCAATCGTTTGGGCCGCTGCACGGGCAGGGACGCATCGTGCCCCGCCGCCGTACCCTGCTCAAGCCTTTTGAAAAGCGGCGGGCCGCATGCTTCCCAAGCTTGTGGCACAGACCAGTCTCTCCGCAGCGACTGAGGTAGCGGTGGGCTGGGCGCGTCGACTCAGTGGCATGTTCATCGAGGGCGGCCAGCTTGCGTCCGCCGCCGAGCAGCTGGGCGGGATCCGCGCCTCTCTCTGTATCGTGTTCGCTGTGGGCGCTCTGGCGGGCTGCTGCTGCTCCGCTTGTGCACTGGCAGGAGGCATCGTGCACCATGGCGTTCGTATTGCAGGCTGGGATGCGAGTGCTCGTGCAGTGGCGCGCGATCGAGGAGTTCCATGCAAGGATGCTGCTGCGCGAGTCCAACGGCGACGAGTACGACAGAGAGCTCGCCTGGGTTTCAAGTCGCGAGTCCTACGAGTCAGGTGTGGATGGCCGCTGCCCCCGATTCAGACGTGCACCTTCACGAGTTGGAGGTGCCACCTTTCCACGCGCTGGCCCCATGCGATCAGACGGGCCGGCCTCTGCGGCGCGAACGAGTTGGCGGGGAACGACCTCGCCGAGCTCGGCCCCACTACGGCCCCCAGTGGTCTCCGACGCCCCGCGAGTTCACAGAACTCCGCGAGGGTCGCGGCGTGAGACCGTCAGCGGGGGAGATGGTGGACGTGGACCAGCCGGCGCGGGCGACGCCGCCGGGCCTGCTGGATGGGACAGCGACTCCTTCTGAGGGGCTGCTGCGAGGCTCAGGGCGGCTCGAAGCTGGGACTGGGCGGCGGTGGCTAATCGTAGCGAGCGACGACGACAGCGAGGTGAATGGGCTGGCCGATTTCGACCAGCGGGAAGTGCTGCCTGCTGAAGGCTGCAACCGACAAGCAGGCCGAGATCTCGATGGATGCGCGCTTGATGCCGATCTTGCACGAGCTCAACGGCAAGAGGCGGCGCGTCTTCAAGGACGCGGCGCGGGCTATGACGGAGACAGCGTGGCCTGGGTGGCCTGCGAAGGGGCCGCGCACCGCCTTGCGGCACGTCAGCCTTTCGCGGAGCAGGACGCACATCCGCGCGCCCGCCACGCCAAGTGGCGCGCGGAGTGCGGCCCGGCCTCGAGCGACATGGCCGCGTCGGACCACGAGCTGGCGACGCTTGCGCTGGAGCTGGGGGCGAACTTCGACCGGCTTAACCCGACGGAGCCGGCGCTGGTGGAGCTCTTGGTCCGGCGCGCCCAGCTGGCGGAGTGGCGTCGTCGAGAGAGGCCGCTGAAGAGCCGCGGCGACGAGTACTTGCAGGATGAGTATCTGTGCACGGGGGCCTCGGGGACGCGGGGGGCCCTTATGGCGCGCCCGCTGCTGGTCGACCACGCGCCGGCGGAGCTGCACCAAGAGGCGACGCTAACGAAGCAGAAGCAGAAGCCCCGCGAAGAGCGAATGCCGTCGCGCGGGCGGGCCCCGCCGGCAGCGGCGGCGGGATCACGAAGGCGTTGCGTGACAAGGTGGCAGCTCAGGCCGCGGAGATCAGCAAGCTCCAGACGAAGGTCAAAGGCCCCCCAGGCGGCAAGAATGCTGGGGGAGGACTCGGAGGCCAGGTCTCCACCTTCTCAGGGGCGGCAGCTTATGCAGAGCTGCGCCCGCGCTTGCCAGGATTTGCAGAAGACACCGTGCGCCGCGCCTCCTACTCCGAGGGGTTGGTCTCCCTGCCGACGACGGGCGGACAGTGCGCCAGCGCCGATTGCTTGTCGGGTCGGGCCCGCGAACTACGGGCAGGCTGGCAGAAGCATTTTCTTCGCGATGATAGGCCTGCGGACGGCCCTCGTAGTCGCCCTTTTTTCAGATCCTGAACTAGCGCAGCGCAAGCAAATTTACTTGCGATTCGCGAGGCAGCTGTTAGACCGAGGCCTCATCGACCTGGGCGGGCGCGCCGAGGCGACGGTGGGCATCTTCTTCGCTTTCAAGAGTGACAAGCGGACCCCCCACACGATTGCAGACACGCGGGTGGCCAACGCTCGATTCTGAAAACCGGCGCATGCGCAGTTGCCGACTGCGGGGGCGTGGGGCAGTTTGCCCGCGCCAGACGGCAAGTCCTTGCATCTGGCCCAAATGGACTTGGACAACGCATTCTACAGGATCACCACGCCGCCAGGGCCGCGCGACCACTTCGCGCCGCCTGCCGTGGACCTCCACACCCTTCGGGCCGAGAGGCCTGACCTGGTTGCCTATCTGCATGCCAGGCGCACGGCGTCGCCGCGGCTGGCGGCCCTCGCGACGGGCTGGAGCTGGAGCATTCTTTTCTGCCAGCAGATTGCGGAGACCCAGGTGATCAGGAGCGGGGCGGCACGGGAGCGGCTGGCGCGCGATCGGCACCCCGCGCCCTACCAGGAGCAGGGGCCAGCCGCGTCGGCGCACGTGGACGGGGCCGCAGTCATCGGGCTCGACCACGCCGAGACGGCGGAGACGGCCCAGCGGGTGCGGGACACCCTCGATGCCGCGGGGCCGCAGTGCAAGGGGCTCGAGGTCCCGTCCGCGGAGGCGACGTTCACGGGGCTGGCGTTCGACGAGGCGAGGGCCCGCGTTGGGCTCAGCCGCCGACGCATGTGGCGCATCTGCCCGAGCACGCTGTACGTTGCCGACCGCGGGTCCGCCTCGGGCGACGAGCTGCGGGCGCTCCTCGGCCACTTCGCGTTGGGCGCGCTGGTGCGGAGGGAGCTCCTGTCGATCTTCTCCGCGGCCTACCGCTTCGCGACGCGGGCCGGTGGGCGGCGGCGGCGCCTGTGGAGCGCCGCGGTGGCGGGGCCTCGCGCGGCCGCCGCGCTCATCGCGTTCGGCCGCGTGGGCTGCCGCCGCCGCCCAGACCCCGCGGCGCGGGCAACCGACGCCTGCGGCGCGACGGCCTGCGACGCGGGCGGGCTCGGCGCCGCGAGCCGCGCTTGGGATCTGGGCGACGTTGCCAGGGCCAGTGCGCAGGCAGAGCGGCGGCGGCACCGCGCGTCGGAGGCAATTTCGGCACGGGCGCGCGCCTTGGGGCTATCCGAGCACCCAGCCGCCCTTGGAGGATCGAGCATCCAGAAAAGCCAGAGCGATAGACAGCGAGTCCAGTCGAGTTCAGTTCTCCATTCCTCTATCGAGGCATCCGCGGCATGCCTCTGAGTTCGACCAGTCGTTCGGGGTTATGTGTCATGGTTCCTTGGGTCGGTCTCGCTCGACCAAATCACTTCGAGTCACGTCGGCCACATCAAGATGTGGCAGCTCAGGGTCAGGGGTAGGTTCAGCCGAGCAGAGAGCATCATCCGTCTGAAGGGGCACTGGGCCGCCATCGGTGTACGACGTCAACTTCGGGCTGTCTCTCGACGCGGGCGCAAGCTGCTCGCGTTGCGCGACAACCTGGGCCTGGTTCTGGCCCAGGGGAAGGGGCGGGCGACCAGCCCGATGGTGACGCGTCAAGCATCCTGGGGGACCTGTCGGCGACCGTTCGGCGGACCCCTTCGGAGCTGAACCCAGCTGATCGCCCTTCCCGCATGCCTGGCGCCTTGGCTCGAGACCTTCGGGCAGATCCTCGGAGCGCCGGCTTCGACCCCCCTGGGCCGCCGCGGTGCGACGCCGAGGCTGTGCTGCGCACGGCGGTCGACGAGGCGCTGCTGGGTGGCGAGCTCGACTGGCTGGGCCGGCCGGCGGCTGGCGCGGCCGGGCTGGGCGACGCCTTCTGGGCGACCCGCTGCCAGGCGGCGCCGCGCGGCTGCACGCTGAAGCGGCGGCGCCAACGGCGGCGGAGCGGCGGACGCGGCTTCCGAGGGCAGCAGCAGTTCGAGTTCCAGTGACTACGGCGACGGCAACGAGACCGCCGAGCGCGTCAACCCCTGCAGCGACGGGCCGACGCCTGGCGCGCGCGCCGACACAGTCGCCGGGCGAGCGGATGTCGGGCCCCCAGGCGAGCGCGGCCGAGAGGATCGGCCGCCGCGCAGCCCGCCGCCAGGCCTCAGCCGCGGTCGCGGCCCCAGCGAGGCCGCCAGGCGGCTTGCGCGAGACGGGCCACCCGGAAAGCAGGCGCGCGACCGAGAAGAGCCGGGACACGCTGTGCCGCGAGGTCGGGGTCTTCCGAGCGGAGCGCCAGGAGAACCGCCAGAGCGCGAGCTCCAGGGCGGCGCTCGACGACACGCTCGCGGGGTACCTGGGCACCCTCTACTTCGACGGCTACAACTGCGAGAGGGGCGACAAGCCCCTGTCGGGGCTGGCCTTCGAAGAGCCGAAGTTCAGGCGCGGCGGGGAGGAGGGCCCTGCTCGAGCCCGAGCTGCCCTCCAGGGCTTCCGCCGCAGGGTATCCAGGCAGATGAGGTTGCCACTGACTCGGCCGGAGCTGGCTGCACTGCGCCGGGGTCGCGGCCCTGGGGCGGGACTTCGGGATCAGCCTGGCGCTCGCGTGGGACAGCGGGCTGTGATTGCCGAGCGACATCACGCGGCACCTGCCGAGCCCGGGAAGGGGCCGGCTCACGCGCGGGTTTGCCGCGAGGCGGTGGAGGCACAGATCGCAGCAATGCTGAGCGAGCGCCCGGCGCTGCTGCAGCCGCCCAACCTGGCCGCAACTGCGCGCTGAAGGCCGGTCGGTCCCGTCGCTTGGGCGACACACTGGTGCGCAGCAGAGAGTTGTCATAAGCCGCCGTGCGGGCTGGGCTGAGCGACGCCATGCGGCGCGAGGAGTTGGGCAAGGCCCCAGTTTGCTACCTTGACCTCTTTTCAGGCGCGGGCGGCATCGCCCGCGCGCTCAGGAGATTGCGCAGCGTCAGCCTCGAGATGGATCTTCCGCACTCTGAGTTTTTCGATATTGCCTCGAAGGTGGTTGGCCAGACCATCGCGGGTTGGATCTCGAGTCGCCTCGTCGTAGGCGTTTTGTTCTGCGTTCCTGTGCTCGACTTACTCGCAAGCCTCGCACAATTTCTATCGATGCCCTGCTAGCATGCACGGCCACTCCCATCTCGAAGGCGAAGCGCTGGAGCGCCTCCTGGTGGGAAATGCGACCCGTGCCTGTGTGTATCATGGTGTCCCAATGATATGTGAGAACCCTGTAAGCAGCTACGCCTGGCAGGAGCCCGTCATGCAGCATCTGTCCCAACATCGGCGGTGTCGCGATGCCGTGTTCGATATGTGCCAATTCGGAAGAGCTTGGAGAAAGCCCACGCGTCTGCGCGCGTGGAATTGTGTGCCTCCGCCCGCAGCTCTGTGCGCACGTTGCTCTAGCTCGCGCGGCCCCTGCCCCCAGACCGGTCGACCCCACATCCCTCTCCAAGGTCGAGGGCCGCACGGGGTGCGGCGGACCCGCTTGGCGGAGACATCTCCCAGCAAGGCAGCCAGATCGCCCGATGGCTGCATCAGAGCGCTGAAAACATCAGAGCTCAGAGAATTTGGAGACTGGTAGACTGTTGAAGCATGCGGCCATCCAGGGCACAGAATGGGAACGGGCGGAGCATGGCTCCGCGATCGCTTGCAGGCTGGAGGCCTCTCACCTGAACAAACCAACGTCTGGCCATTTGAAAAAAAACAGCACTCATCCTCCTCCTCCTCCTCCTCCTCCTTTTCCTCCTCCTCCTCCTCCTCCTCCTCCTCCTCCTCCTCCTCCTCCTCCTCCTCCTCCTCCTCCTCCTCCTCCTCTTCCTCCCCCCCCCTCTTGTTTATACAGGCCGCTACCGCTCTGGTCTTTGGTCCTGCCTATATCCCTTTCGCATGCTGTTTGCACATGAAGCCTGATGGCTGTGAGTGTGTTCATGCCCATCCGCCGTTATCTGTTTGTCTGTCTTTCAATATGCATGTATTTTTTTGTCGTATCTACATATATATCGTTATCGATATGTGTCTATATTCCCAGCCCTCTATATCTATATATATATATATACATGTATATATATATATGTATGTATATATGTATGTATGTATATATATGTGTATATATATATATGTGATGGTATATCCCTTTCTCTCTCTCTCTCTCTCTCTCTCTTTCTGTCTGTGTCGCTGTCTCTGTCTCTGTCTCTCGCTCTCTCTCTCTCTCTCTCTCTCTTTCTGTCTCTCTCTCTCTATCTCTCTCTCCCTTATTGTTCCTTCCCTCTCTCTCTCACACTCTGGCTCTCGATCATCTTCCTACCACCCCTTCCCCTGCTGGTTTCCCCGCTGTGGCGTATGAAGACGTTAGTGTATGTACGTTCCTACCAGTTGTCACGTACTGTGTTGCGGTTCCTCGATTGTTGTTGTGTGATGCCCGGTTATATTCATGATCAGTCGGATCAGAAGGGGATGCACAAGCAACGCTTTCACTACATCTGCATTGGCATCGTTGTTACGCTGTTCGTCCTCCTCCTCCCCCTCTCTTTGTTCGCCTGCCTTGCTCTTCCCTTTCCTCCCTCCTGTGTTTGACGATGGCCAGGCGTCGCGTGTAATTGACGTCCCAGCTGGTGATGTGCCACGACACTGCTTTAGGGGTCGCCTTGTCGGCCGGGGCCGCACAGGGCTGCATAGTGCAGCATCGGCCTTCACCCCGTTCGATTGGGGCTGCGGATCAGCTTCGCGATCTCTTTTCACTTGGCTCGTGATGCGAACTGTACGCGCGCGAGCTACAGGGCCAGCACCGAGACAGGTTGATCAAAACTCATCTTCCTCCTCCTCCTCCTCCTCCTCCTCCTCCTCCTCCCTCCCCTCCTCCTCCTCCTCCTCCTCCTCCTCCTCCTCCTCCTCCTCCTCCTCCTGCTCCTCATCCCCCGCCTCCTCCTCCTCCTCCTCCTCCTCCTCCTCCTCCTCCTCCTCTTCCTCCTCCTCCTCCCCTCCTCCTCCTCCTCCTGCTCCTCATCCCCCGCCTCCTCCTCCTCCTCCTCCTCCTCTCCTCCTCCTCCTCCTCCTCCTCCTCCTCCTCCTCCTCCTCCTCCTCCTCCTCCTCCTCCTCCTCCTCCTCATCCCCCCTCCTCTCCTCCTCCTCCTCCTCCTCCTCCTCCGCCTCCTCCTCTCCTCCTCCTCCTCCTCCTCCTCCTCTTCCTCCTCCCTCCTCCTCCTCATCATCATCATCATCATCATCCCCCGCCTCCTCCTCCTCCTCCTCCTCCTCCTCCTCCTCCTTCTCCTCCTCCTCCTCCTCCTCCCTCCTCCTCCTCCTCCTCCTCCGCCTCCTCCGCCTCCTCCTCCTCCTTCTCGTGCTCTCCCTCCTCATCCCCTCCCCTTCGTTCATCTTCCTCCCCCTCCTCCCCCCCACCCCTCCCAGGAGGTCTCCACGGGCCTCCCGAGGTCTCGAGAGGACCCCCAGGGTCCCCGCTGGAGGCCCCCGTCGACCCAGAAAGGGCCAAGAACGGCCAACAGCTTGGATCCTCGAGCCAACCTGTCCGATGCATTGATTTGTGCAGCACGGTGACCCCACAGAGGTCTCGACCCCCCAAGGCCGGCTGTTCACCTCGAGCCGTTTTTTGACGGTTCGGGGGCCTGGGCTCGATGTGGCCATCGCCATCCACGCTGACGGCGGCGACGCGTCGGCGATGCGGCGCGATGCATCTACTGGGACCCCATGCGGGAGGCCTCGGGGTGAGGGCCGCCGAGGCCGAAAAAAGGGCAAAGAATTCCATTTTGAGGTTGCCAAGACGTCGGATGCTTGGGAACCTCGACACTCGATCCCCCAGCCCGGGGGGGGAGGCGCTCTCCTCGCGGGAGGGCTTGGGAGGACGAGGGTTGAGGAGGAAAACAGGAGGAGGAGGAGGAGGAGGAGGAGGAGGAGGAAGGTAGGAGGGAGGCGAGACAGGAGAGAGGACTGCGCGGTCGCCGCAGGAGTTTTGGCACTACACGGACAACCGGTGCACCGAGGACAACCCCAACGTTGCCGCCGTCCGTGCCCGGCGCGAGTCGGCTGGCCACCCGGAGCTCTGAGGGATGGCAGCGGGCCGCCCTGCCACCCGAGGCACGGGGCGCCCACGAGGCGGCCGGGGCGCGGGCGTGGAAGAGCTGTGGCGCAGGAGCCACGGCTGCCCAGGTCTCGGGCGGTCTTGGCCCCTCGTCGGCCTCTGGAGATCTCCGCCACGCCCCCCCCCGACCGAGGCCTCTTGGGCCCAAGAAGCCTCGAACCTCCGCCCTCCGGGGGGGGGGAGGAAGGCGGCGGCTCAGGAGGCCGCGGCTGATTGGGCTGGCGGCTCTGTCCGCAGCGAGGCCCGCGCTCTCCCACGGGCGGGCCTGCGATCGGCTGGCGGAAAGAAAGAAAGCGGGGCATTGCTACACCCGCGGTTGTGCCACCAAACGGCAGTACATGTTTGCCGGCGTGCATGTTTCCACATGCTTGCGCCACTCCGCAGGCCCCTGGTTCCTGTGGTGTAAACAGGGCGTCGTGATGTTCACAGACATTGTGGTGCGCACAGATGCTGCTGCGGCAGCTGTGGTGGACACCAGAACTGTTGTGCACACAGGCATGGGCGTGCACACAGGCAGTGCGGTGTACACAGTCATTCTGGGCCCAACCTGGGGGGAACACTTCCTTGGGACGCTTGAGGGCCTTAGGGGGTGTCCTGCGTGGTCTTTCCGTGGCGCTGGGGTACTTCAGGAAACTTCGGGGGGCCTTTTGGGAGGACCTTTGGAGGCTCTCCGCGCGCCTCCATCGAGTTCCAGGGAACGCGGCATGGCTTCAGGGGGGTCTGGGTGCGCTTGCGAGCCTCAGGGTGCCCCATGTGGCCTTTCGGTAGCTGGGCTGCCTCTGGGAACTTTGGGGGGCCTTCAAGGAGGACCTCAGGAGGCTCTCAGCCTGCCTCCATCGAGTTCCAGGGGGCGCGACAAGGCTTTGGAGGGAGATCTGGGGACGCTTGCGGGCCTCAGGGTGCCCTGCGTGGCCTTTGGGAGGCGATGGAGTGCCCCTCGGAAATTTTATTGGCTTTGGGGACCCCATGGTTTGGAGGCTGCCAGCACGCATCCATCGACTTCCAGGGAGTGCGACAAGGCTGCTTCGGGGAGGTCCTCAAGGTGCCCCACGTGGCCTTGAGGTGGAGCCCGGGTGACTCCAGGGAGCTTTAGGGAGCCTTCGGGTGGCCTTTGGAAGCTCTGGAGAAGCAACTCAAGCAACGTAAGGGTATCTGAAGGCCTCAGTGGCAGTGTCCACATGCGGTTCCCCGCCCATGCCGGAACACCCCTAACTCGCTTCGTGGCCACAAAGGGAGCTCCACCTAATGCTCCAGTGGCCGCCCTCGAATGCGATTCCCCGCCTATGTCGGCACACCTCTGGCACGTTTAGGGAGCTCCGCCTCAGGCCCCAGTGGCAGTGTCCACATGCGGCTGCCCGCCCATGCCGGCACACCCCTCAAACGCTTCGTGGCCCCATATGGAGCTTGACCGAAGGCCCCAGTGGCCGCCCTCGAATGCGGTTCCCCGCGCACGCCTTTGGTACGTTTCGTGGCCCCATACGGGAACTAGCTCCACCTACCACTTGATGCCCCAGTGGCCGTCCTCGCAAGCGGTTCCCCGCCCGTGTCGGCACACCCCTCACACGTTTCATGGCCCCATGGGAAGCTCCACCGAAGACCCCAGTGGCAGTGTCCACATGCGGCTCCCCGCCCATTTCGGCACACCCTTACACGTTTCGTGGCCTGGATGGGAGCACCACCGAAGACGATCCTTAGAACTGCGGTGCTCACAACTGCAAATGGCTGGGCCCTCGCCAGGATAATTTTCAACCGAATTTCACATGCGCGCGCCCCTGCATGTGGCCAACATGGTATTGTCTGGTAAGGGGTATGTCAAACGCTCTGGTTGTTAGATCAACGCGTGCACACAGCATGCTTTCACTTGGCGCGGAGGAGGGGGCGTCAGCGCGTCAGCTGGCATTGTATGATTTGATGTTCAAGACGAACGACGAAAGTTCGTGCAAAACAAAAGTGAAACACACAATACGCAGAGGTGAGTGGATAAGTCCAGCCTCGGCACTTGGGTAGAGTCGGCTCCTTCTGATTTGAAGGAATATATGGAGTGCACTGCGCGCGGCTCTGCAAGCTGGCTGGTGCAAGACGAAAAGGTGTCATATGTTGTTATGTATATATGTTGTCTGGGTGCTCCGAGATGTCTGGGTTCGCCGTGACAGCCGTTGTAGCTCAATGTAATAAGGACCATCGTGTCGTTTAAATTGGACCAGATATCTGCTTGGCCCGATCCTTCTAGAGGTCCTCATGAGGGGTCTGCGGGAGACCAGGTCTTGTTCCCAACGTTCACCTGTCGCTCCCTAAGAAGAGGTGTTGCTGCGCCTGTTCTGTCCTGCAATTGCTCTGGGCGTCTCGGCGCCCCCTCCGCTGCGCCTCCGTGGCGCCGCGTACGCGGAGCCATTTGCCACTTGCCACACTTGCCTACGTCGTGCAATACAGTCGATTCGAGGTCCAAGGTCGAGGTCATTTCAGGGAGGGTACCCTAGTGTTTGTCGTGCTTGCCGGATACTCTTATGCATCCTGGAGGAGGGCACCTTCGAATGTTCCTCAGTCTGGGCCGGCGGAGAGACTCGCGCGTTTGAAGGATGTTCGTCTGTCCATGCTCCGATTGCAAGTCATGGAAAGGGGAGGAGGACGACGACGACGAAACGGAGCTATCGAAAGAGAAAGATGAGCCCGAGAAGGGGAAGCTGAAGTTTGACGATAATGAGATGGAGGAGGAAGGGGGAGGAGGAGGACGACGACGACGAGGAGGGAAGGGAGCAGGCTGTGCCGAAGACCCAGGCGGCGCACGGGGCGGCGATGCAGCGGCCGCGCGCGCCTCTTGCCAGGCGAAACGCCCGAGCAGCCGCCGCCGCCGTGCGGGACGGGGACGGACGGCGACATGCCAGGGCGAAAGAAGCGGCCTCCAGGCACTCGAGGGGTGGAAGGTCGAGGGATCGAAGATCGGGGGATCGGGGGATCCTGGGATCCAGGGATCGAGGATCCTCCCTGCTCCTCCGCTCGGCGGCCTGCCTCCTGCCCTCCCTCCCGGCCTCGCCGCCTTGCCTCGGCCTCCCGCGGCCCCTGCCCCGTGCCCCCGTGCCTCCTCCCCCCTCCCTGCACCTCTGGGCTGCGATACTCATAAATTATCACACACACACACACACCCCGGCTGTCGAGGTCATGCACCTCGCTTTCGTGGAAGGCCGATCCGATCCGATCCCTGCACCTCCCGGCGACAGAGGCGCCGGCCGGCGCACGATCCGGCGAGAAGGCGGCAGCGGGAGGCGATGGCTCCCAGCGTTGGAGCCACGCCGGCCACAGCGCCACGGGGCGGCGACGGGGCAGCGACGGGCGGGCCTCGGGCGAGCACGCGGCAGAGCCGGCCAGCGCAAGGGGCAGCGACGGGCACTGGGCGAGGGCACGGACATGCCAGCCAGCGCGCGAGTCGATTGGGGGAAAGCCCAGGAATCCCAGCCAATGATTTGCAACCCGAGTGAGAACCTTTTTGAGTACAAGCATGGCTTCGGGGAACAAGGCATCGGCGCGAAGCACTTTTGGACAACGTGTGGCACAAGTTACGGCGCAATCGTGCTCTCACTGAGGCTTTCCCCAATTTGGTAGCCAACGGGGTGCCCGGCGCAACTTCTGGCGCATATGCACACCCACTGTAGAAGCGGACGTTTTGGTTGCCCGCAGGGTGTTTGGCGCAGCCCTTGGCGCAATCTATAACGCAGTGGCGCACCCCTTGAGGCATCGGCCGATTTGGTGACCCGCGGAGCGCCTCGCGCAGCCAATGGCGCAATCGATGGCGCCATGGTACACCCACTGAGGCATCAGCCGCTTTGGTGGCCCGCGGGACACCACCTACAACCTCTTGCGCAACAGATGGTGCAATGTTCACTCGCCGATGCATGAGGGGGTGCTTGGCGCAACCAGCGGCGCAGCTTATGGCGCAACCTGTAGTGCAATGGTACACCCACTCAGGAAACACACGTTTTGGTGTCCCGCTGGGTATTTGGCGCAACCGATAGCGCAATTGTGCACCCTCTGAGGCATCGGCCGATTTGTTGGCCCGCCGAGTACCTTGCGCAATATATGGCGCAATCGTTCACCCATTGAGGCATGAGCCAGTTTGGTGGCCCGCGGGGTGCCTCGCGGAATTTATTGCGCAACCGATGGTGCAATGGTACACCCACCGAGGCAGCGGGCAATTGGTGGCCCACGGGATGATTGGCGCAACCATTGGCACAGCCATGGCACAACCTATGGCGCAATGGCACACGCTCTGAAGAAACGCACGTCATGGTGGCCCCTCGAGTGCTTGGCACTACTCACGGCGCAATATATGGCCGAACCTACGGCGCAATGGTACACCCCCTAAGAAATCTGACGATTTGGTGGCCCACTGAGGGCCTGGCGCACCCTCTGGCACAACCGACTGCGCAATGGTACCCACTGAGGCAATTGGCGATTTGATGACCCGCGGGATGCTTAGCACAGCCTCTTGGCGGGGGGGATTCGAACATGGTCACTTTGTTGGTATACAGATCGCCCTTGACGTCCCAAGAGGCCCACCAGGCCGCCTCGACGCAGCCCGCAGGCATCCAAGAGTTCCCCCGAGGGCCCCCCGACCCTCCAGAACAGCCCCAATGGCCCCAAGGAGGTCGCCACGATCGCCCCGAGAGGCAACAAGGAAGCCCAGGAGGAACCCACGAGGGCTGGCCCAAGCAGGGGGGGAAGTCGAACAGGTCTTCGGTTGCATTGATGGAGCCATGCGGTTGCAGCGGCTGGCGACACCAGCGGCCTGCGGAGGAGAGCGGCCACGGGAGAGGGCGTGCTGCCTGCCGCGGTCCGACCGCACGGGCGGCCGCCTCGGCGCTCCGACGCCCCCCTCGCGGCCTGCGTCGGAGTGCCGGAGGCGCATCACCACGCCCAGCATCGCAGGCCTCAGCGTCGCCAGCACGCGCGGGCCTGGCTCGGCCACCCCCG